TAAGCTGGTTTAGATCGTACTTATCGGACCGTTCTCATTTTGTCTGTTTAAATGGGAAAAAATCAAAGATAACGTCAGTAGACTATGGAGTACCGCAAGGATCGGTTTTAGGCCCTCTGCTATTCTCAATATGTATGCTGCCACTTGGTAATATTATAAGAAAACATGGAATTAATTTCCACTGTTACGCTGACGACACTCAATTATATATTTCATCACGACCAGATGAAAACACTAACTCATCTAAAATGACAGAGTGTCTCAAAGATATAAAATGCTGGATGATGCGTAATTTCCTGCTATTAAATTCAGATAAAACGGAGGTATTACTTATTGGTCCAAAAAACTACTCACAAAACCTCTCACAATACAACTTTAATATAGACGGATGTCCTGTTACTTTATCCACTACAGTAAAAGACCTGGGTGTTATACTAGACCGCAACTTGTCGTTCGAAAATCATATTTCATATGTTACAAGAACAGCCTTTTTCCACCTTAGAAACATTGCTAAGCTGCGTAACATGCTATCTATTTCTGATGCAGAAAAATTAGTTCACGCATTCATGACCTCGAGACTAGATTACTGTAATGCTTTATTAGCTGGTTGTCCTGCATCCTCAATAAACAAGCTACAGTTAGTACAAAATGCAGCTGCTAGAGTTCTTACTAGGTCAAGAAAATATGATCATATAACACCGATTTTATCATCTCTACACTGGTTACCTATTAAGTTCCGCATCAACTACAAAATACTACTACTGACCTATAAAGCCCTAAATGGTTTAGCTCCTATGTACTTAACGGACCTTCTTTCGCCCTACAATCCACCGCGTTCCTTAAGATCACTAAATTCAAGGCTTCTGGTCATTCCTAGGATATCGAAGTCCAGTAAAGGAGGGAGGGCGTTCTCGCATTTAGCTCCAAAACTCTGGAATAGCCTTCCCGATACGGTCCGAGGCTCTGACTCGCTGACACAGTTTAAAACTAGATTAAAGACGCATCTCTTTAGTCAAGCATTCACATAATGCTTACCTTTTAGTCCTCTGTTATGCCATACGGAACCGTTTGCCACTGAAACTGCTTAACGCACCAGTGGGGCTCGACAGCCTTTTAGACAAACGGGTCGGCGCGTATGGTCGGCGCGTATGGTTGGGTTGCGGAGAGTTCAGGTTAGGGAGAGTTTGTGAGTTATAACGGAAATCATTATGAACATCAGCTATGCTAATTATTTCCCATCTGCCTTTCTGCTGTTATCTCGGACGCTTGTCCCGAGAAAAATGGCGTTCGTCAGGTCCAGTTTTGTGTCCAGCCTCTCACGGGGATTTCGGATGCCCCAACGCCTGTGATGAGACGACTCAACGCCTGTGAAGAGACGACTCAACGCCTGCGATATGTTATGGCGCCGTTTGATTCATAAACAATATTTATATTTAATATTTATATTTAAACAATATGAATGTAAGCCAGAGGAGAACTGGCCCCCGACTGAGCCTGGGTTCTCCCAAGGTTTTTTCTCCATCCAATCTGATGGAGTTTTGGTTCCTTGCCACTGTCGCCTTGCTTTTGGCTTGCTTTGAGCTTGCTCAGTTGGGGTTATTTAGTGTTTAGCAATGTTGTTGATCTGTGTTGTGCTACTTTCATGTTATCAGTGTGAAGCTGCTTTGATACAATCTGTATTGTGAAAAGCGCTATATAAATAAATGTGACTTGACTTGACTTGACACTTTGGCCTGTAACACCATAGGACACAGATGTCACACAATAGGACAAGACCTCCTTAAGAAGCTATTAAAACAAATAGATGAAGTTTGTTAAAATTCTTTTCATTCTTTTTTGACCAGTTTTGATGATCTTAAATTCAATAATGACTTAAATTTTAATGATTATTACTGTTTTTTGGAGTGTTACTAAAATAACTATAATGTATAATATAGACCATTTCACAAGATGTAAACAACACTGGTCCAGAAGCACTTCCTGTTTCAGATTTTTAACACTACATAAAAGCTGGGATAAAATACAACCAACAGAACATTTAAAACTGAATCAAAAAGTTAAACAAACATCTTTAAGATGTTTTCTTTACATGTGAAATAAAGAAAACAGTTACAAACTAAAACAGGAAGTGCTTCTGGACCAGTGTTGTTTACATCTTGTGAAATGGTCTATAACAACCATAAACAAATATAAAGTTCATAAATACAGTGCTACTACTTATAATACTATTTAACTTTTTTTAGAAAAAAAAAAAAAAACTGAGGGAGAGATGAGTGCAAGAGGCAACCAGACAGTATAGGGAGCGAATTTAAAAGGATCCTAAGAAAACGACAGAGAAAATAAATCAAACTGAATGTTTCCATATACTTCATATAGCCTACATCTTAAAATAATTCAGGGATCTTGCTGAGTGACTGAATGACTGCTTATTATTCAGTATCAGAATATACCTGTGTGAGGTTCAGGTTCAACATAATAAGCTTGTTATTACAGGGTAATAATCTATATTGTGTTTTATAAGAAAGTGGTTGGGAAAACACATTAGGTCATGATTTATAATTGAGTACTCATTACATTCATTTCTCTGTTGATCCATTCATCTATCATTATTTCAAACAGATATCATGAAAAGAAGGCTCTCAAGGAATTGGAAATTTCATTTTTACCTTTGCAATGGATTTTATTTTCATGTCAGAAGCCAAGTTCCCATACACTTGTCAATCTAATTATCTGAAGTTCGGTAAAAAAAAACAAAAAAAAAAAAAAACTTGTGGGAATAAAGCTGGTGAAAGTGTGTTTCCATCCAACAGCTTTAAAGCGAATAAAAGCAGTGCGTAATGACGTCACCTGCTGTTTTGCGATCAAATTGGTATATCGATTTGGTTTGAGACATTTTAAGGTGTTCCCATTCTTTTTCACTCTGAATCGCTCAACATTCAAGCAAACATTTGAGAACAAAGTTTTGCTAGACAAAATGGATCGCGCCATAATAACGTTTCCATCAGCATTTATCGCATTAGTCGGATATCGATCAAGATAAAATCCAATGAGACCGAACGATTTCGAAATCGAAATGATCGATTTCATTTGAGTCGATATTCATGAAATTCAATTGAATTTTTCATTCAAAAATGAAATGAATAAAATTGCATTTTTCCATAATGCATTTTTCATTTGATATCACTTTATTCGGATAAAAATGTGTGGATGGAAACATAACTATTGTTACTGTTTAACTGATGAACAATGACAATGTCATTTTACTGTAGCCTATTTCTCAAAGATATTATGTTTTGATGGATCTATAATTATCAAAGTTACTTCAGGTGTGATATGTTTTGCACAGTTTATATTGCAGAAAAATAAAAACAAATGTCCTCCTTTAATTGTTACACTATATAGTCTGACTCTTTTTTTGCAATGACTATCTTGTCATTTGGTGTGACGTTTTGTCCTATGGTGTGACAAACATAAAACAAAAGAAAAATATACTTATTTCAAAATATGTTTTTAAAAAAGAATCAAGTTTGGCATTAGGGGAGTTTCAATAATATCTCCTCTTAGATGGGTACAATTTCAATAAGTTTTGTAAGGTTGGCGAAAAAGTTTTAATGACATTCGTAGGGAAAAGTTTATCAGTAAAAATTATTCAAATTTTTACTTTCATGTAATATAAATATCACTTTCATAAAAAAATGTTTTAATAATGTGAACAATTCTCTCAATTATTTTTTTAATGTTATTTAATAATATTTAATAATAATTTTTCAGTACTGTTTTCTCAGTTTTTCAGTTGAGTGAAAACGTGAAAATAATATGTGAAGTCATTGACAAAATGAGTTACCACTACTATTTTCTGAAACTGCAGTTTTCATACTCCATAAATATATATATATATATTTTCTTAAAAAGTTATGTTTTCCTAAAAAAGTACTTTTTCTTGGCCATTTGTCAACTACCCACAGTTACATCATACTGTAGCCTACAGTTAATAATTTAGGCTATTAGATGTTTTACATGGATTGCGAATTAATAAGGAGGCTATATGATTGTGTCTAGGATAGCCAAAATTTCGGCTAAAAATTAACTTAAAGTTTCAGCTACAACTTATCATTTAAAATTTAACCACAACGATTCCGGTTCTTGTTTTTTAGTAACCTTTACTTTTGAGGAGATATTTTTAGAGGGTTCCACTTCCTGCATTTACTGCCTCCAGCAGTCTGTTGCCATATGATGAAATATTTTCAGATTTAGCCTGATTCATTTACCGCACAGGTGTTTGGACTTAATGGGCTCTATGCACGGCGGTATTTCCGGTGAAGATGTAAGGATGCTCGATAACTTCCGCCGATCGTAGAGTCCAATGCAATACCGAGAATTTATATTGAATTTTATACTCCATGGTTATACTAAAGAAACGTTAGTCACAAAAACAGATAAAACAGACACCCCTCGTTGTGTTTATGCTTCTTTTTAAAATTATATTAAATAAACATAACTATATATAAAATTACATCTAAACGTATGTACGTTTCGTTTCAAAGACGGGAGGACAGTACATTTTGAAGACTCTGGCATAATCCCGTTTTCCTCGGTTTTCCTCCGCTTTAATCTCCACAACCGGAAATGGACGAGCATCCTTGCGTCAAATGCGGAACTTATGCGTGCGTATAGCCCATTAAAGAGATAAGTAAGTGAACTATTATATTTGGGTGAACTATCCCTTTGACTATTTTTACAAGCTACATAAATGCAGTTCAATAATTATTCTAAATATATTTGAAATAACTAATAAGAAAAAATGTAGTATCATTTTTAATGTACACATTCGTTACACTGGTGCGGCGCGCTGAATGCCCCCCCCCACTACAGCAAAAATAAAAGTCACCACACTGTGGCAGCAGAGAACATACATACCCTCAACAAAAAGCCCATTCAGAGAAAGAGAGTTGAGATCAACAAAGAAAAGGAGAGAGAGAGAGAGTCAGTGTAAAACTGTTTTGAACGTTTTTTCCAAAAGTAACCATGTCACTCCCTCTTTGTATTGAAGATAATCCCCCATTTTCACAGAGATCCAGACACCACCAGACCAAATCAAATGATTTCATGAAGATTTCAATCCAACCCAAGTCACTGTCAACAGATGTCTCTGGGGCAAGCTGAGGGCCAGAACTTCAACAAGCCTGAAACACATCTGTGGCAGCAGCACAGCAGTGTTAGAGTTATTTGAGCGTGAGGGAGTGATTCAAGCACCTCAGGATCTGCAGCTCCAGGACTCCAGACCTGCTCCAACCTGGATGGATCACAGGCAAAAGAGGCTGCAGAGTAAATCATCTCCACCAAAGTTGGATGTCTTTCCTTGAGGGTTTGCTGGGAAGTGCCATTGACTTGTGCAAGGCTGCTGTTATCAACCTGGAATAATGTCCATGGACTGGCGTGACAGGCTGATCATAGGCTTGTTTGTGATGCTTATCCTGAGTCTCAGCTGCTGTGCTGGACAGAGCTATGAACGCTGGGAGGCTGGGTCCTCGTGCTATGGAGGGTTTGACCTCTATTTTGTGCTGGACAAGTGAGTGTTTCCATTTCCATAAGCTTTGAGAGTGTCTTCGTAATGGCACCTGAGAATCTGATGCTGTATGGATGTTAATTCAACATCCATACAGACAGCCAAAGGTCAAGTAGGCAATTTTATTATGTCTCTAAAGAGACACATCAGCAAGCATTTCGGAAGCATCATTACAGTCTCTCACATTTTGATGCTGCAAATCATGGCATTTAGGTTTAAATGTGCCTATATAGCATAAACATCCTGTGTTCTGAAGGCCTCTGAAATGTCAAATTTACCTGAAATTAATATTCTGTGCAGGATATTGGAGACGTCTAAGATGGTCATCTCCTGTATGACCTCTGCAATTTTAAGGAAGCGTGAAAACATATAGAAATGGTCAAAAGCATATCGTGCAGATAAAATCCTCAAACGCAGAATTGCACTGCAGTACTAGCTGTTGTATTGTATTTTTAATAGCTTTGTGGATGCGTTACCATTTACCATAAAAACAGTAACTATGAGGACAACAACCCACCTCCAGAAAGAGCTTGGCAAAGACATAAAAACAACAGAAGATCTATCAAAGATTTTCCAAATGTATTGATGTTTGTGGGATATTTTGGTTGTAAAGGATTATTTTCCTTTGTCAACTGTAGCTCTCTTGACAGTTTTCCCTCAGTTTGTTTATGATGCTTATTATATTCAGTTTCAGTATGAAGTCACTTTTTAGGGTCATCATTTAATAGAAAACTCTAGTAGATTGATGCAGGTGTCATGAGGTGATGGTGAGTAGAGCGTTTAGGGCTGTTTGGGTTCCTCTTGTGCTGAACCTTTTCACCAGCAGGGCCAGATGTTCCAAAGCCTCAGAGCTGTCTTGAATCAGAGTTCGCATCTGAGCACAAATGATATGGAGATGAGAAAGGGACCGAGGGGAGGGGAGGGGGAGATAGAGAAAGTATGCCATTGTTTAGTCGTGCTAGTAACATTCTTCATTTATAAGCAAAGATAAACTCAGAGAAAAGACGTGAAAAACACACACACCCTGTGATGAATAGAGTGCATTAGGCAAATATAATATGAATTAAAATATTTGGATTTCTCTTTGGAGGCAGAATAATACAATGCCTTCACAGTGCAAGACAACAGCCCAGATTTTGAAAAAGCCTTTTCAGTGATGGTTATAGGTTCTTATAGGATGAGGTCATAGCGAAGTATTGGCTTACACTGCAACTTTCTTTTTTCTGTTGGAACAGTGCAGATGCACAATGGCAATGCTGAAATGGCCTTGGTTTGAGTCTCAAAATGTATATTATATGTATATGTCTAGCATTTGAAATATATTCAGAATTTTCTCTTTTTTAACTCATTAAAATGGACAGCCAGCATTTTGGACCTTAACAGGATCTGGGCCTCAAAAGGTTCACACTCACTTTCCTTGTGTCGAAATAATCAAAATTTCAAATAAAGTGTTTTAAAATAGAACTACTATGTTTAAAATAAAGTTTGCAGTAATTATAAAAAACTAAATAAAAATAAATATTACATAATAAAAAATTATTTATTCTTTACATATCTCCTCTTCACTAATTTGCTTCCTAATCTAGATGTCTAATAAACTAGCCATTGTATATTATAAAAAATTGTTGGCTCTTTTACAAATTGCTTTAGTACGTCATTTTGGATAAAAACAGCTGCTAAATGCATAAATGTACAGTAAATGTGGTCTGTGTCTCAAACTTAAAGTCTTGGCGTGGATCTGCGACTTGGCTTATTGTTTCAGACAAAACCGCAACTTATTTGCAAAGCATTAAAGGTGATAGTGACCTTAACCACAGGTCAGTGAGGTATTCTGAAAAGGAATTTGAAAAGGCAGTGTTTCATATGAATACTACAATAAATTCAGACTTTTTTTCAGTTCACTAAAATGCTGAGCCTTGCATGGTTCTTGTTTTTGTCTAAATTTAAGCTTTGAGAAGTTTAGTCTTGGGTCTTGAATGGTCTGGTATTGGCTCCAGTTAGTTTGTATTATAAATATATATATATATATATATATATATATATATATATATATATATATATATTATATATATTATATATATATATATATATAATATATATATATATATATATATATTATAATATAAACTAATATATTATATAATAGTTAGTTTATAGTTAGGCTCCAGTTAGTTTATATTATATATATATATATATATATATATATATATATATATATATATATATATAAAACTATCGAAAAATAGAACAGTAAAATAATTAGACATGGACTGTCCACATTAAAAAGAATGTACCACCATCTGTTGAATTGATCAAGACTGAATTAGCAGCACTGGTGTGTTTGTGGTGGTGTATGTGTGAGGAAAGCTTGTGCTGACTTTGGAAGGCTTCAACGTCGCTTACGTAAGCTTAGCATTCTTTTTTGATTTGTCTCCACCACAATTGCCCTGCCAGATGAGCTATTACACAAGCTGAGCATTAAAGAAGCCCACTTAAAAAGAAGTTAGAGTCTAGATGCTCAGATATCATTATCTGTGTCAGACGCTTTTTAAAACTACTTTTTTAAGACAGTTGGACAGGGACATGCTGCCATGCAAATCTGTAATGAATATTGAGATAATCCATAAATAAGATATCAGGAGTGTGTAATTTCAGGGAGAAATCACCACCACTATATGACCATGCAGCCTAAATCCTTTAGTGGATTTAATCCATCATGTGAACTTTTAAAAGAGTCGGGTGTTTCCAAGATAGTGTTGGTATGTTACTTTGGCAGATGATGTAATGTCTCATACAGCAGTCATAAATGTCAAACCTTCTACTGACTATTGATGCAGATGTATCTCCTCTGGTCCTGCAGTGCTCTCTGCCTCTGCAATATGGAACAAGGTGTTTTTAACAAAATGATACAGAAGATTGCATACACTGATATGCAAAAGTGCTATTTATCCAGGAACAAAGGACAAAGCACACTTTTTTCAGCGTCCATATATGTGTATGACCAAAAAAAAAAAAAAAAAAAGATTTTCATGTTATTTTGTGCAATCCTAATACTGAACCCTTAATGCATAACATCTTCTCAGGTCTGGAAGTGTACAGCACCACTGGAATGAGATCTACTACTTTGTTGATCACCTTGCACACAAGTTCATCAGGTGATTCCAGCAGAAACTCAACATGCTGACTTTTATTATTTTTTTGTGATCTCATTACTACAATGTATTTATTAAAAAAATCTGTAAACTAATGTCAGATTGTTATGTAACCTAAAGTTTTAGGTAGTTCTGTTAAAATTAAATTGTCAAAAGACTGCACACTTTACTGTCCAAAAAATATACAGTAATATAAATAAAAGGCTGCAAAGCCAATTTAAGTGCTAAGGAATAATGACAGCTTGTGCAATACAAATAGCTATAATGGAACTCCTAGTAGACCATATTAATGTCAACTAGTCGGCAACAACAGCATGATGGTCTGTGAATAAACCAATTACATTTTCCTATTCTTCTCTGTCTGCAGCCCCCAGCTCCGAATGTCCTTTATAGTCTTTTCAACGGAGGGAAGGATCCTGATGAAACTTACAGAGGACAGGCAAGAGTTTATAACACATGCTGTGATTTCATACTGTCAACATCTGAAAAGCTTTTGACTTTGATATCTTTTTACTTGCTGTGAGTCTGTCAGCTTTATTTGTGTCGATCCAACAAATCAAGAAGAGCTGGCAGCATTCAAATCCATGCTGGTCCAGGCTTTATGCTGATTACCGTTGGTTTGGCTCTGGTCTACAAGGCCAAAAATCAAAATCAAAGTTAATTAACATGAATTCTATCTTTCTTTTTAAGTATTCATTTAAATAAAAAGCATGATGTATAAATAATTGAATAGAGTAAATCGCCATGAAAAATTCACAATATCTTAATATTCAGGGATCAGATCCGTGCTGGGCTGGAGGAGCTTCAGCATGTCTTACCAGGTGGAGATACCTTCATGCACAAAGGTTTTCAGAGGGTAAGCAGGTATTGTAAAATACACTAAAGTACAAATCAGAACAAACACAGTTTATTAAAAAAAAATTGTGTGGTTTTCTAGGCAAGCGAGCAGATCTACTATGGAACAGGTGACGGTATGTTACGAATTAAATTCCTCTGGTGACTGACTTGACTTTTTTTCCCTTTCTTTTCTTTACAGTAGCTAGATAGGGGTAAGTCCTGACCATAGATGACACAAAATCTTACTTTTGATGAATGGCTATACGCTACTGTATCTTCAATTTTGTAATTTCATCTGAATATTTACTCTTGTGAAATTTAGTCAGTAGAAAGGTTAATTTATCTAAATGTGTGTCTCTAGAAAATAGTGATTTATGACATTGTATTATGTTAAATATCTAAGTTTTTGTGTCTACTTGTTAATGAGAGATTTGTGGACACATTCATGTTTTTAAATTTGTGGAGTAATAAGTTATAGTTTTTATTTTTATAAAAAAATTACCCTATATTAGACCCCTGGGGTAAGGTGGGATCTGGTGGGGTAAAATGGCCTCTGAATAATTGTACATTTTGTTCTATAACAACAAAATTAGCAAAAGTTTCTATTTATTTCCTATATTAACACATTGGCTGATGCATCATCATTCTTCACATGCTAAACTTATATCTAAATAGGTTACTGTCACGTGTAAGATAGAGGACCCAAAAGCAAAGGGCAGTCAACAAATGATTTAATGTTTCAGAAGGGTTAACACAGGTGCCGTATGGCGAGTAAATCCAACAGAGGAGTCTCAAAGGTAATGGAACAGAAAGTCTCTTGATAACGGAACAGAAAGCTGCCGTCTGGATCAGCTCGGACGGTCACTCAGAGGAAGAGACAGGTTGGGTCCGTAGCAGGCACGGGGACGCCAATCCTGAACCACTCACGATGCTGGAAGTGTAGCAGAGTAGAGTCGAGGTAACACAGAGTACAAAACAGCTAGGGCCAGACAGGACACGACACGACAGGATCGGGACCGATATGCACAGGTACGTAACATAGAGCAATAATCTGACAAAGAACAGTAAGAGAGAAGCCATGAAATAGAGAGTCTAATCAGAGATAGTGAGAAACAGTTGGGAAGGTAACGAGGAGGTAAAGAGAAGATGAGCCACAGCTGGAGGTGACCGGGATAATGAATGGACGCGCCGAAGATTGGCAGACAACTTGAGACGAACAGAGACAGGACTGAGTATCTTAAGAATACGGAAAGGCCCGATGAATTTGGGGGCCAGCTTGCGAGAAGTGGTTTGGAGAGGAAGATTAAGGGTAGATAACCAAACTCTCTGACCCACAGAATAACGGGGACTTTTGACCCGACGTCTATTAGTGGCCCGCCGGGTACGAGAACGAGATTTAACTAAAGCGGACCTAACCTCTCTCCAAGTACGCTTAGCACGTTAAATGAAGGCTTGAACGGACGGCACCTTAGATTCAGTCTCCTGAGACGAAAAGAGTGGAGGCTGGTATCCGAGACAGCACTGAAAAGAAGAAAAACCCGTGGCAGAGGATGGAGCGGAATTGAGAGCGTACTCTGCCCAGGGAAGCTGTTCTGACCACGAAACCGGATTGCGAAAGGCGAGACTACGAAGGATGCGACCGATGGTCTGGTTGACACGTTCCGCTTGACCGTTGGTTTGTGGGTGAAACCCGGAGGAGAGACTGGCCGACGCACCAATAAGACGGCAAAACTCTCTCCAAAACAAGGAAGAGAATTGGGGCCCCTATCAGATACGACGTCAGAGGGGAGACCGTGGATCTTAAAAACTTGGTCGACGATAATCTGGGCCGTCTCCCTAGCAGATGGGAGCTTGGGTAACGGAATAAAGCGAGCGGTCTTAGAAAAGCGATCAACGACGGTCAGTATCACGGTGTTCCCCTGGGAGGAGGGAAGACCCGTGATAAAATCCAAGGCAATGTGTGACCAAGGGTGGGACGGTAACGGGAGGGGACGCAGTAGCCCGGCCGGAGGCGAATTACCCGACTTAGTCTGGGCGCATACCGTACACGAAGCGATAAAACGGCGGACGTCGCGCTCACGAGAGGGCCACCAAAATCTTTGGCGGATGGCGGTGATGGTGCCCCTAACGCCGGGATGGGCAAATAGTTTGGATGAGTGGCCCCACTGAAGAACCGCGAGGCGAGCAGACGGAGGAACGAACAGAAGACCCCTGGGACAAAGACGAGGGGTAATAGCGTGGGCTAAAGAGCGCTTGACCAAACGTTCTATTCCCCAGACAGCTGCCCCCACCACCACGCCCTTAGGAAGGATGTCCTCCTTATTGGGAACAACCTCTGGGGAAGTAAACTGTGGCGAAAGAGTGTCTGGCTTGAGGTTCTTAGACCCGGGGTGATAGGAGATGGAGAAATTGAAACGCGTAAAGAATAGCGCCCAACGAGCCTGGCGCGCGCAAAGTCTCTTAGCGGAGTGGATATACTCAAGATTCCTGTGATCTGTCCAGACCACGAACGGGACCACTGAACCCTCTAGCCAGTGGCGCCACTCTCCGAGAGCTAGACGAATGGCTAATAATTCGCGGTTGCCAACATCACAATTTCGTTCGGCGGGAGAAAGGCGATGTGAAAAGTAAGCGCAGGGATGAACCTTCTCATCAGAAGATGAGCGTTGGGAGAGAATAGCCCCAACGCCCACCTCTGATGCATCAACTTCAACAATGAACTGTCTAGAGACATCAGGAGTAAGCAAAATAGGAGCAGAGGAAAAAAGAGACTTGAGACGATCAAAAGCGGTCTGAGCCTCCTGCGTCCAGGAAAATTGGACCCTGGCGGACGTGAGGGCTGAGAGCGGGGCGGCAATCTGGCTAAAGTTGCGGATAAAGCGACGATAAAAATTCGCAAAACCTAAGAACCGTTGCAGAGCAACACGCGACTCCAGCACGGGCCACTCCGTGACCGCACGGACCTTCGAGGAATACATGCTAACTCCATCCGCGGAAATAATTGACCCCAGAAAAGAGATGGACTGAGCGTGGAAAGTACACTTCTCGGCCTTAACAAACAATCGGTTCTCGAGAAGACGTTGGAGGACTTGTCTTACGTGCTGAGTGTGAACTTGGAGAGAGGGGGAGAAGATCAAAATATCGTCAAGATAGACGAAAAGAAAATATTCAACATGTCTCTGAGCACGTCATTTATTAGCGCTTGGAACAAGGGTGGAGCGTTGACCAATCCGAAAGGAAGAACGCGATATTCGAAGTGCCCAAGAGGCGTATTAAACACAGTCTTCCATTCGTCTCCCCTCCTAATGCGGACAAGGTGGTAAGCGTTGCGAAGATCTAGCTTTGAAAAGATCTTAGCTCCCTGCAAGACCTCGAAAGCTGAAGACATAAGTGGCAAGGGGTAACGATTCTTGACAGTTATGTCATTCAAACTTCGATAATCTATGCAGGGTCGCAACGAAGCATCTTTCTTCTTAACGAAGAAAAAACACGCACCAGCAGTGGAGGAAGAGGGAACAATGGTACCCGCTTCGAGCGAGTCAGACAAATACTTCTCTAGGGTTTTGCGTTCGGGCGCGGAGAGCGAATAGAGCCTGCCACGGGGAGGGGTGGTGCCAGGCAGGAGATTGATGGCACAATCATACGGTCGGTGAGGAGGAAGAGAGGTGGCCCTGGAACGACTAAAGACCGCTCGAAGATCATGGTACTCCCGGGGAACTCAAGCCAAATCTCCCGGCTCTTCCTGAAAAACAGAGACAGAAGAAACAGGAGGAACAGCAGACATCAAACACTTAACATGACACGACAAATTCCAAGACAAAATTGAACCTCTGGCCCAGTTAATCTGGGGATTATGTTCGACTAACCAGGGGTGTCCTAAAATTACTGGACTAGAAGGAGAATGCAAAACTAAAAAAGAAATTGTCTCTCGATGATTGCCTGAGATGGTGAGACTCACCGGGGCGGTGGCAAAGCGGGCTCTAGTGAGGATACTACCATCAAGTGCGTGGATGGAAGTGGAGTCATTACGCTCTATGAGGGTGATCTCCTGTTCTCTAGCCCAACCTTCACCCACAAAATTTCCCTCGGCTCCAGAATCGATCAAAACCTGACAAGAGGTGGAATACCCAGGCCAGCGGAGTGCGGGAAAAGTAGTGCGCGTGCGTGTCGAAGGGTCCAGGACTGACGCGCTCACCAGTAACCCTCTCTCTACTGGTGAGCGTTGGCTTTTACTGGACACGAGGCGACACGGTGAGAAGCAGAAGCACAGTACATGCAGAGGCGAGCCATGATATGGCATTGACGTTCGGCTGCGGAGATCCGTAAGCATCCCATCTGCATGGGCTCAGAGTCGGAGGCGGGAGGCGGAGCAGATGAGGGAGCCGGAGTTGTGAGTGGAACCCTCTCCAGACCGCGGCTGTGACGGCGCATCTCAAAACGCTTCTCCACCCGGATGGCCAAGTCGATAAGAGGGTCCAGTCGAGTAGGTGTCTCCCGGGCAAGTATGTCGTCCTTAACGTACGCATTGAGCCCCTCGAGAAAACGGGCTACTAGTGCAGGCTCGTTCCAGTCGCAAGAAGCAGATAAAGTGCGGAATTCAATCGAGAAATCTGCTGCTGACCTTCCTCCTTGGCGCAGCGTAGACATGAGACGAGAAGCCTCCGCCCCATATGCAGAGCGGTCAAACACCCGCAACATCTCCTCCTTGAAAGCGGAATAGCGGCGAAGACAGTCAGCCTCCGAAGTCCACATAGCGGTTCCCCACTCCCGCGCTCGGCCAGTCAGTAAGGAGTTGGGAACGATCAGTAGCGTAAGTGGAGGTCTGCAGTGAAAAAACAACCTCACACTGAGTCAAAAAAGACCTGCATTCCTTGGGCTCACCGGAATAACACGGCGGGATGTTCACTCTCGGCTCAGGCGTATCCCGCCCTCGAGAAGAGGAAGGTTCAGTGCGGAGATGATGGAGCTGCTGGACAATGTCGGTAACACGAGTAGCCAGAGAATCCACGGCATGGTGCGTTGCAGCCAGCTCATCCTCATGACGGCCCAGCATGGCTCCCTGGAGCTCGAGTGCGGACTAAAGTGAATTCTCCCTTGCTGGGTCCATTGCTGGTCAGATTATTCTGTCACGTGTAAGATAGAGGACCCAAAAGCAAAGGGCAGTCAACAAATGATTTAATGTTTCAGAAGGGTTAACACAGGTGCCGTATGGCGAGTAAATCCAACAGAGGAGTCTCAAAGGTAATGGAACAGAAAGTCTCTTGATAACGGAACAGAAAGCTGCCGTCTGGATCAGCTCGGACGGTCACTCAGAGGAAGAGACAGGTTGGGTCCGTAGCAGGCACGGGGACGCCAATCCTGAACCACTCACGATGCTGGAAGTGTAGCAGAGTAGAGTCGAGGTAACACAGAGTACAAAACAGCTAGTGCCAGACAGGACACGACACGACAGGATCAGGAGCGGTATGCACAGGTACGTAACATAGAGCAATAATCTGACAAAGAACAGTAAGAGAGAAGCCATGAAATAGAGAGTCTAATCAGAGATAGTGAGAAACAGTTGGGAAGGTAACGAGGAGGTAAAGAGAAGATGAGCCACAGTTGGAGGTGACCGGGATAATGAATGAGTGATGCGAGTAATGTAATGTAAGATAGTGACCAGAAGGGGGCAGAAAGGGAACAGAGAAAGAAAGAAAGAGCCAGGATCATGACAGTTACAGTTTAAAAGTGAATGCACATCGTTCTTAAAAGGGTGATGAACTGAGAAATCAAATTTTCCTTGAGCTTTTGACATCTAAGTGGTCATCATATTATAAAAATATCCTGTAAGTTTCAGAACTGAAAACGTCCTTGTTAGTCCAATAAAAGCTTTTATAGCTTTTTAGCAAATTACTCGTTTTTAAAAGTGGGGAACTATGACGTCAAAGAGGTTAAAACACCACCCCCGCAGAAGATGATTAACTCCTACTTCAACACGGCCGGTTTAGCCCTGCCCACAGATTCTCGCATTACATGCAATCAGGCATAGCTAAATAACATAGGCCTACCTCGTGATGACAAAACGGGATCGAGCTACTGAGCAATGCAGAATATTGTGCAGTGCCTGGTTGTGAAAGACGACAGTCGCTGCATAAGCTTCCTCTGGATTCCAATAGGACGGCATGGATAAACTTTATTTTTAATGACGTTCCAGCTGATGAGGTAAAACATCGTCGTCTGTTCGCTTCATTTCACTGGGGATTGTCCTTTAAACAAGACTGGATTTGCAGACCGATTAAGAGCAAAGAACGGTGCTGTGCCGTCTATATTGGATCTGACAGGAATTGTGCAACACACAGACTCTGGGTCGAATCATTCCGGTTGCCATTTTACAACATTGGACGTTTTCAAAACAATTTCCCCCAAGTGCATCAACGGGACTCATTATAATATGCAAAACTGTTCTCCACTCACAGCAGTGGGTGTTTACTTCCAAGTCTTCAGTGCGAGACACCCATAAAAACCCAGCATTTTTCAGGTAGGCTAAAAACTTGGATACAAAATAGCTTATTACTTATTCATTTGGATGTTTTTAAATGCAAAAACCAAACGAACGTCATAAGTTGACCTCAGACAACAATATAATAAAATTTAAAAAGCCAGTTCATGACCCCTTTAAAGGAGTAGTTCACTTTAAAAAAAAAAACTTTTGCTGATAATTTACTCACCCCCATGTCATCCAAGATGTCCATGTCTTTCTTTCTTCAGTCGAAAATAAATGTAAGTTTTTGATTAAAACATTCCAGGATTTTCTCCATATAATTGACTTTATTGGGAACCAAACGGTTCAAAGTCCAAATGAGAGTTTCATTGCAGCTTCAAGGGGCTTTAAACGACACCAAACGATGAATAAGGGTCTTATCTAGCGAAGCGATTGTTCATTTAAAAAATAAATAACAACGTTTAAGTTTTATAAGCACAAATGCTCGCTTTGCTCTATTCTGTGATGCACGTTCGTGACTCTCCTGTTCGAACCCGTTCATCAAAATGAACAAATCTTTTTTCGAGGCATGACTCGAAGGGTCCTAGACAAGACCTTATTCATCGCCTGGTGTCGTCTAAGTCAGGGGTTCTCAACTCCAGTCCTCGCGACCCACTGCTCTGCATATTGTGTATGTCTCCCTTATTTAACACACCTGATTCAGATCCTCAGCTTGTTAGGATATCCTCAGCTCGTTAGGATAGCCGAGTCTATCCTAACGAGCTGAGGATCTGAATCAGGTGTGTTAAATAAGGGAGACATACACAACATGCAGAGCAGTGGGTCACGCGGACTGGAGTTGAGAACCCCTGGTCTAAAGCCCCTTGAAGCTGCATTGAAACTCTCATTTGGACCTTGAACAGTTTGGTTCCCAATGAAGTCCATTATATGGAGAAAATCCTGAAATGTTTTCATCAAAAACCTTAATTTCTTTTCAACTGAAGAAAGAAAGACGTGGACATCTTGGATGATATGGGGGTGAGTATGTATCAGCAAAAATTCTTTTTAAAAGTGAACTACTCCTTTAAGGGCCAGGGCATCTTTTCCCACGTTACCTTACTAGGCTAGCTATAACGTTACATTTTTAACGCCGTTACAACAACCTGAAAAGTTACACTAAGCCGATGTTTAAATTGAGCACATTTACGAAGTAGCCGACAGTTCATTTGGCAAAGATGCAAGCAGGAATGTCGCTTGCAAAAAAAGCTGTTTCATACATTTCAAAATTTTGAAAACTATAACTTTTTCTCCACAAATTAAAAACATTACAGTCTTTTTTATTGCACCCCCTCCCATGTTGGAAACGCTGGATAGAATCCTGCTTGTCACAGTATGAATAGAACCGGAATGGTTAGCTATACACAAAATTTCACTAATATGACCACACCAAAGTAGCCTATGTTTAAAGATGTCATATTCGTTCTTTCACCTGACAAGGTTTGTATCGGATATACAAAAAATATAAGTAGTCTACCGTCAATATCATGTTATTGTGTTTACCCATCACAAAGAAAGTTTAAAACTTGTTAAAGACAGATGACGATTAGCTAAATGTGATACGGTTCCCAAAAGACAATGGTTGCGCGAGACGAACCCTAAAGGCTACGATTGATTACTCCCAGAAATTTCTGTCAGAAATTCAAAAAGTAATTGAATAATTTGCTCTCTGAACCATTCTAGGAGGTTCTTCTATAGACTATAGATTCTCTCTTCTTTTGTTAGGATACCGCACAGCGAGTGTCATCATTGCTCTGACTGATGGAGAACTGCGCGAGAATGAATTTGACTTGGCAGCCAGAGAGGTGAGACCTTACACCTTAGATCCTGTCATCCTGCCATATTTTCTGTTCTTTCTCCCCCGAGCATGAAAATTTATTTAACACCAACAGCCTTAAGCTCTGACCTGTGAGGCAGCAACTATTATAAAATAAACTGAACCTTGGACCTTCTTTCTCTCAGACTGTCTCTTTTAGCCCATTATCTAGATAATATCTGCATAGTTTGATATTTCACATGTACTGGCTCTATAATATATGCAACCCAACTCATCTTTTTGAAACATGTCTTTCATACGGTGAAATGGCAGGCCGGTCGCTCACGTCAGTTGGGAGCTTCTGTGTATTGTGTTGGAGTGAAGGACTTTAATGAAACCCAGGTAAGGTGACAAAATGATTTGCCCCTTCATTGTGAGCAGGTCACCACAATCTGTATTCACATCAGCAACTGATGTATAATGTGAGAACAAAAGAATAGAGAAGCATATTTTTATGATTTCTCATTCGGTCACAGCTGGCAACAATAGCCGACAGCGAAGATCACGTCTTTCCTGTTAATGATGGCTTTGAAGCACTGCAAGGGGTCATTGATTCAGTGAGTGAATTGACTGAACTCAGTAACAGCTACTCTCACATCTTTCTTTTGATAATTTTATTGATGTAAATAGCTGTGTTCCAAAACCTTGTGAGCTGCCTTTAGGTAGCATTTTATGTTGTCAAATGTGCACTTTTGAGACAAAAAGCATGGCTTCTTTTAGTCAAATGCGAAGGCAGCATTGCATGTATCATTCACTGAAAAGGCAATTAGTTAATGTGACTCAGTGAAAAAAATCAACATTTATCTTTTCAAAAATAGTTCAATCTTATTCAAATCCAGCAATCAGTTTGGCCAACATCCAGTGGCATGTATTTTGATGCTAATTAGAGTATCTCATCGTTAGCTAATCAAAAAAACACTGGTTCTACTTGCTGGCCTCCGTTAAACATTGTACGATTTTGTCCCAGGCGCAAGATGACCAAATGTGGTCGTGGCTCCTAAACAGTGGCGCTACGTTGTACAGTGTGAGAGGTTCTGCCGTTGTCACGGTCTTATCACCAAAGCTAGCCTGCGATCATTTTCTGACAGTGTCAGAAATGTAGCATGATCATCTCACAGTGTGTTTGCTGCTAATGCTATGACCTACATCTCCTGACTAACCAATAAAATTATCAACGTGACATGGCGCTACAACTTAAAACTCCCTAAAGCTCCATTTGATAGATTAGCATGCCAAACTGGCCTCTTTTCCCTAGCCATGACCACGTCCATATTCTCCTCTTTTGCTTATTCCTCCTCTTTTTTTTCAGGGCACATAAAAACCACAATTGCCAAAGTGCGATTCATCTGACTCTATTTGTTTACCACTAGCGCATGCTGATGACGTTTTATTCTATACTAACTTGCATAATAGTGGCCTGCGATTCAATATGTATTATCATTGTACAGTCTACATATACATGTCGTACCCAAGTTCCCCGAAGGGACTACCGCTGCGTGTAATCGCAGTGGGAACGCCCTCAGCGTGATGCGTCTGAAGCATGAATGAAATCAGTCAATGGAGAGAATGAGCGTACGGCGAGTGACGTCATGACCAGGAAGCTATAAATATCCGCTGAGCACACAAGTCGCCAGCTTTTGTTACTTCACCAAGCTCTGAATGTGTGTCTGAAATCTATCGATTGTGTTTGTCTGTTTTAGACAGGAGTTTCTTACTATATATACATATTTATTAAAAAAACAATATGAGCGAGATAGATATATCTATATGTGGCTTGTTTGGGAGTGCAGCGTGCCCAATCGGCTCTCGAGGGAGTCGATTGTGAGCATTGCAAGCGCTGTCCTCTGCGAACTCTGCTCTCGTGGCGATCGCTCTTCGAGGAGAGAGGTATGCTGTGAGCTCCCCAAGGCTCGGGTCCCGCTTCTGTTGAGGCAGAGTGGCGGCGCTTGTCTTGGGGTTCGCAGTGGATCTACCCGGCGATGTTGAGAACGGGCCCCGCCCTATCTCGGCTTTCTCCGGCGGGATCCAGTGCCTCTCACCTGGTGGAAGCACGCGCTGCGGCGGTTACTTCTGCCCATGTAGAGGCATGAATGATGCATGATGATGTTGAATTGAGATTATCCAGTTCTGAGGAGCTGGATGTCGAAAGTTTTGCATCAGAGGAAACTAGTTTGTCACAGTATACTGCAAATGAAAAAGATTTTATGGATGTGTTTTCTCAGGCTGTTGAAAAGCTCAGTGTCGAGTGGCCAGCTGATAGACAGGAGTCTAATAGTAAAATTAAACTATATTATAGATTTCTGTCTGCACAACCTCAACCTTCTGCCCTCTAAACCACTAAAAAAAAAAAGAAAAAGAAAAAATATATATGTATATATACTTCTGTGTTAGTGGGGAAGGCTTACTCGACGGCGGGTCAAGCGGCTGCATGTATACACACTATGAAAAAAAAAGGCATTATGCAAGCTTTTCAGGCTGACCTGCTTAAAGATGCGGTGAGAGGGGGGAATTTATGTTGAAATGATCAATGAGCTAGAACTGCTTTCAGAATTTTTTGCCCCTTAAAGTGCATGTCGCTGGGGCTGCAGACGAGGGCAGTCCCAGTTGCCGAGTACCTCAAAAAGAGCGTCTCGTGCCCCCCCCCCCCAAGAGAAGGGGGGGACAAGGCGGGACGCTCTCTGGCGTGGCCTTCTCGTGGTAGGGCTGATCTGAGGACAGTCATTATCGCCAAGAAGGCCGCGTCGAAAAGAAAAAAAAAACCTGACGTGCTGAACCTCATGACTCTGAGGGTGGTCCCCATCGTGAAAGACTTGATTTCACTGCACAAAAACATGGTGCCCTGTCTTTCCCGATGCCCTCAGGGGTCTGCTCTACTAACCCTGCCTTTACAGGGTGTAGAGAGACTCGGCAAGCGATTTTCTGAGAGACACTCGCCCACTCTGGGGGGGGGGGGGGGAGTTGTGGAGTGCCCAGACCAGCTGTTCCCTGCCAGTGTGTTACAGAGTGCTGTGTCTGTCACTCAGGATGTTCATCCAGAGGCTAGCCTCGAGAGACTGGTTCCCTTAGTAGAGTTTCTGACGGAATGGAAAATTCTCCCCAAAGTTTCTCAGTGGGACCTCGGTTCAGAGGGGTTCTGCCCACAGTGGTGGTCCCCGAGCAGGCTCTGGTATTAGAACAGCAGGTAAAAACTCTCCTGCTGAAAGGAGCTATAGAGCGGGTTCCTCCACCCAGCAGGGAGTTAGGACACTACAGCCGGTACTTCATCGTTCTGAAGAAAGATGGGGGGCTGCATCCCATTCTTGATCTGCGTCTCTTACATTGCGCTGTAGGGAAGCTCAAATTCAAGATGCTCACTCTCAAGAAGATCGTGTCACAAATCAGATCCGAGGACTGGTTTTTCACGATAGATCTAAAGGACGCTTACTTCCATGTGTCTATCCTCCCTCAACACAGGAAGTTCTGGAGGTTCGCTTTCGGGGGCGAAGCGTACCAATATCGGGTTCTTCCGTTCGGCCTAGCACTGTCACCCTGAACATTCACAAAGTGTATGGATGCTGCTATAGCCCCGTTAAGGCTGCAGGGCATCCGTATTCTGAATTATATCGATGACTGGTTAATTCTAGCTCAATCGGAACAACAGGCGGTTCGGCATCAAGGTGTCGTTCTTGCTCACATCAAGAGACTGGGGCTGAGGCTCAACGCCAAGAAGAGTGTTCTTTCTCCATTACATCTTGTTTACAAACTGACACGTCAGATCCTTCTATGGTCCCAGGGGAAAATTCTTTCTCTGAGAGGTTTTTATCTCCCGGGGTATTTAAATCAGGGCTGCAGACATCCTGCCAAGACAGGGGCCGAGGCCCGGGGAATGGAGTCTTCACCCCGAGGTGGTGGAACTCCTTTGGAAACATTTCGGTCGTGCCGAGGTAGACCTATTTGCTTCTCGAGAAACATCACACTGCGCTGTGGTTCTCTCTTAGCCATCCAGCCCGATGGGGTTGGATGCGATGGTACATCCGTGGCCGAGGTCACGTCTGTACGCATTTCCCCCGATCGCTCTGCTCCCAGGAGTTCTGGAGAGGGTTCGCCGGAACGGGCTCAGTCTTCTGCTAATTGCCCCGTTCTAGCCGGCTCGAGTGTGGTTTGCGGACCTAATGTCTCTCCTCGACGGCTCTCCCCTGGAGATACCGATCAGGAGAGACCTACTCTCTCAGGCGAGTGGGTTGATCCTTCACCCCCGCCCAGAACTATGGGGACTGTGGGCTTGGCCTCTGAGGGGGCCCAGCTCATAGCTTCTGGTCTCTCGACTGAGGTTGTTGAAGACCATCCTCCAATCCAGAGCTCCCGCCACAAGGAAGTTATATGCCGCGAGGTGGAAACTTTTCACCTCTTGGTGTGGAGAGCACCAGCAGGACCCAGTTAACTGCCCAGTTGGTACAGTGCTGGATTTCCTGCAGGACCGTCTCTCCACTAGGTTATCCCACTCCACACTGAAGGTGTACGTGGCGGCCTTAGCTGCTTACCACGCCCCTTCAAGTGGAGGTTCCCTAGGGAGACACCCACTGATATCTCGCTTCCTTCTTGGCACCTTGAAGCTGAGGCCTGCAGTTCGCACGAGGGTACCAGCTTGGGATCTGGCCATCGTCTTAGAAAGTCTCTCCCTAGCTCCTTTCGAGCCCTTCGAGGAAGTTTCGGAAAAGTTTCTTACTCTAAAGACTATCCTTCTTCTATCTCATCTCTAAAAAGAACAGGAGAGCACATTCGGTGGCTCCCTCGTGCCTGGAATTTGATACCTGGTTCGGTTAAAGCTTTCTCTGTCCGAGACCAGGTTATGTTCCTAAGGTACTAACTATTTCTCTCAGACCTATAGTTCTGCAGGCTTTCCGCCCTCCGCCTTTTCTGGCGTCAGACCAGGAGAAACTTAATTTGCTGTGCCTCGTTAGGGCTTTAGATGCTTATGTCCACAGAGCTACCCTGTGGAGAAGATCGGAACAACTGTTTGTCTGTTCTTGGGTCACCTAAGCAAGGGTATCCTGCATCTAAGCAAAGGATGAGCAAGTTGGTGGTCGAGGCCATCTCGCTTGCTTACGGTTCGGCCCATCAGCCTTCACCTTTGGCTGTAAGGGCTCATTCCACCAGGAGTATGGCTGCCTCTACAGCTCTTCTTTCAAGAGCTTCTTTTCAGGACGTTTGTGATGCGGCAGGCTGGTCCTCACCGCACACTTTCGTCAGATTTTCTATTCCCTTGACCTTAGCTCCACTCCCAGGGCTCAGTTTCTCTCGTCGGTTTGTGTCTCCTATTGACACACGACAGGGATTTGGTCGTATGGGGATGTGGGTTTTGCATTCCCACTGCGATTACACGCAGCGGTAGTCCCTGAAGGGGAACGTCCCGGGTTCCGTATGTAACCCTAGTTCCCCGAAGGGACGGACGCTGCGTGTCCTGCCATTCTTCCGGCATCCCCTTGGGTCGCTTGCTTCAGTAACTTTAAGCTGGCGGCTTGTGTGCTCAGGGGATATTTATAGCTTCCTGGTCATGACGTCACTCGCCGTACGCTCATTCTCTCCATTGACTGATTTCATTCATGCTTCAGACACGTCACGCTGAGGGCGTTCCCACTGCGATTACATGCAGCGCCCGTCCCTTCGGGGAACTAGGGTTACATACGTAACCCGGGATGTTTATTAGATCCACGGATATAGTGTGATTTGTATTGATTTCAAGGATTGCCAAAATTGCACAGTCTGTAACAGGTATTACACTCACCCCTCTAAACCTCACTTCCATATGGGTCACGGCACCAATATAACCCCTCCGGTTCTACTCGTACCGTGTCGAGCAGGATTCTAAACAGTGTTTCCAACATGGGAGGAGGGTGCGATAAAAAGGACACTAAAGAGTGTCCTTGAGGCCAAGCAAGTGGGGTTTACTTAAACAGCTCTTATTTGCTGGCCTGCATTACACTAAAGGTAAACTCTATTGAAATCAATTGTGAGTTGACACATATTAGAGCACTACCGTGTAGAGCACTACAATCAGTCATTTATGAGTTTGCATGAGTTAAGGCACAGGTATATTTCATGTTCTGCTCCATCTCGTGTACAGTTGAGCGAGCCTTTCAAAGTACACTCCTTTGGCCTCGAAGTCTAGTCACTCACAAATGCACTGTTGTACGTGCACCATCCGCAGGGCCACAAAATAATTGGGCTGCATGCGGAAAGACCCTCCTGATGACTAAGATTACGTCACACGGACAGGGTACAGTGCTTTAGAATGGTGCATACTGTATGCACTGGAGAGAAAGCCAGCTCACTAGGTTTGGGCACAGAGCCTTTATATCACACAAGTAAAACTTACAGTAAGTTGTCTAAATTGGTGGATGTCTCTACAATAAATTGACAAAACATTCAAACATAAACTCATACATTTTTCTTGCCTCAGATTCTGAAGAGATCCTGTATAGAGATCCTTGCTGTGGAGCCCTCGAGTATTTGTGCAGGAGGTAAACATACGTCAGGCCTGAAGCAAAGACCTAGTTCTGACAGACAACAAAAATCTTTTTTTACATATTTAACTGTAAATCACCACATGAAATTTGAACTTTATATGAACTTATATATTAGATTGGGGGGGGGGGTCTGTTTGGTACACATATATATAAAATTAAACGCAATGTGTTTCCTCCCTCCCAGAATCCTTTGAGGTGGTCGTTCAAGGGAACGGATTCCTTCACGCCCGCGATGTGAGCAGAATCCTTTGCAGCTTCCGTATCAACAACACCCTCACCGTGAGTAAGTGAAAAACGGCACAGATGGATTCCTGTTCCTTGCATTGCTAGCTGTGAGCTGTTGAATTATTATAGACCATCCTGTGTTAGCATTAACTGCTAACCAAAATGATCTCCGCAGTTTTTAAAGAACAAAAGTGATAGTTGATAAATGACTGAAACTTTTAAAGGGTACATATCATGCTTTTAAATCATTCATTTTTACATATAAATCATACCGTTGTGGTCTATATAAAACATAACTGCAATACTTAAATTCCTCATTATTATAGCTCCACAGGCCCCTTTTCTACCCCTTTTCTGATGTGCGTCTTTGAGCGACCCGTTTTGAAGCGTCCCCTTTAAATAAAAAGGAGATGCGTCATACCCCGCCCGCTCTCCAGGTCGCCAAAGAGTATAGAAGAACAAGAGGTGAAACTCTGATGCTTTTTTGGTAACAGCCACTAGATGGCGCTTCGGTAGCGCGGCCGCCATATCGGGGTGAAAATTCCAACTGGAGTTACTGGACAACAGCACAGATAACAGTTTTTTTAGGTAGTTTTTTCTTGCATTAGTGAGTATTTCCATTGTATGCAACTTTACACTTTTACTACTATTATTAGTTACCAACTCCACTAGGCCTGAAATATATTTTGGACGTTTTAATCCCCTGGATCATGCTACAAACGTGATGATTCATTGATGCGTTGTGTCCGTTATCCTATATCTAATTGCCACTTTGGACATTGGCTGTGTTTTTTTTGTTTGTTTACATGGTCTTGCGTCATTATTATAAGATATTCTATTGCTGTTATATATTTATTGTCAAACATTTATTTTAGTACAATAACATTCATTTGCTGAACTTATTTCATTGTTAACTTATTTTTGTAAGTAACGTTATGTGTACCTCCGGGAACCGGTCTATGTTATTATAACTTTTTGAACTGATATCACTTTATTCTTACCTATCACACTTAATGTGGAGAGTAATATAATGAATTAAATCCTCAAAGTTCCCTGTCTCAAGTTATGTGGGGGTAGCCCGGTTAAGTAGCAACTTCTTTTTTAACTGCTATAAAGTTAACTGTTGTGAGTTAAATAATCACCTAGCCTAATTATTTCAACCTAAAAATGATCTCTGCACTGGACTAAATATATGTATATTATATGACTGCCAAGTCGCTTTCACCCCGAAATGGCGGAAGCGTAGGGCTGCTGCTGGGCGCTGGTGTTGCAATAGAACGTTCTATTGGCTTTCACTTCTTGTCAATATACGTTCTTTGAGGTCGCTGAGTTCACACTCGGTTCAACTCCCCACGTTCGGCCATTATTGTAGTTTGATTAGAGATATACGATTATATACGATACCTTCAAAGAACATTTTTATTCACACGTTAATAAAATGTCAACAACAGAAGATTTGTCCATCAAGCCTTACATTCGAGCCAGAGCGAGCGAGTTGATAAAGACGACGACGAACCTGCAGAACAACGTCTTCATATGGATATATTGGTATGTGAGTTAACTGTTTTGTGTTATTAGTGAACGTCGACTATTTCTCTTGTTAAAACAAGCACACTGACAAGATAAATGACTACAGTCTAATCTTACCACAAACAATCTGTATTGATAATATGATACGTTTAGAAAGCATCAGAAAAGCAGCTAAATGACCATTGATGAAACTCAAGAACAATAATACTGCAGACGTGTAACGTTACTTCAAAACAAAAACAAATAAAGACAAAGGTACTGCTAAACCATGACCACCATGTGTTTTAAGAAAGTAAAGTACTTTATTTTTATTAATGATATTTACAGCTTATCGAAATGCTCTGTTCGTCGTCTCCAAAGATAGAAGGAATTTAAGTTACCTCTCATTCAGACGAAGTCAATCGGCAAACCCGTCTGTATAACGTTGTCGGAGGTTGTTGATTTGTTGAAGTGGGAATCCTTGAAGTGCTTCAGGTCACTACATCCAAAAACCGAACATTGACTTTGCCCTCTCGTAACTTCTGCATCATTGAGCTCGGACTACAAAATCGGAGCGAGAAATAATAATGGCAGATTGCTCGAAGTGTTGGACCGGTAGTCAATGTCCTTATTTGGCAGTTCCGCTGCAAATACAGTGATGTTGTAGTTCAAAAAACGTCATAGAAAACAGAAAAATCTGAACAGGTTGAAAAATATGGCCAAAACAGAATATAAAGATATAAACGAAGCACCCGAAGAGAATAATTTCATCTTTTCTGTACTTATAAACACTCCAAATATACAACAAAATGCATTTAAGGGCTAAAAAAGCATGATACGTCCCCTTTAAAGAGTCCCTATCATAGCATTTGATGTTCCTATTTTTGTTTTAGGAGTTCCCAAAAACAGTTTAACATGCATGCAAGGATAAAAAACACTTTATTTGTCTTATAATATGCATTTAGCATAACCGTAACGCATAAACATATTGATAAAGCACTGCAGCACTACAAGACGCTCTATTCTTTATGACGACTCCAATAACAGCGACAAACATTTCACATATTTAAAAAAAAATGACATTGGAGACTGAGACCTAGAAGCTGCGCTGAGTGTAACTTTCACACACACACACACACACACACACACACATACACGCGCACACACATACTGCCTCGCGCCCCGATGCAACAAAACCATTCAAAACCCATAAAAGCAACAATTATTAATAATACTTACAGGTTGTTAGGGATGGGACGGTATGAAAATTTCATATCACGATTATAGTGTCCACAATTATCGCGATTATCAATATTATCACGGTTTTCTTAAATTTAGATATAAAGTGTTCAAAATATATAGTGTAAAAAAATTAAAATATAAATATAAAGTGTTCAAAAAGAACTGACGCTCACACTGAAAACATTTCAACAAGTTTTATGAATGAAAATCAACAAACAACAAATAAACAAGCAGCTCTATGCAGTTTTTTTTAAGCAAGATTCTATTCTATGGCATTTCCTTCTTTATAATGCCCGTCGTCAATAGCAACGCATTATTACACACACCGCGCACATCAATATCACAAGGGACACACGCTCGTTTAATTAAAATAATCAGAGTTCATTTATTGTTTACAGAGTTTGATAATATTGGTGTGATCATCTTGTCTGGACGATTGTTTTACTAAATGAATTTATAAACGGGTAAGATTTAAAACATTAGCTGAACTCATTATTAAGTCAATATGTCCCCGTAATTATGTGGTAAAAATAAAATCGCTGTAATACGTTATGTATCTATACATTACTATCCCTAAAACGTCACTCTTAATAATAATCTTATTTGAAGATGTTCGTTCGTCGGCTCAAAGACACTTGCTGCAAAATTTTCTTCGCGGAAGCTTCACTTCTATTTCAAGTGAGTGACATAAAATGTTTAAACTCAAAACAACATTTCGTACCCAATTGTTTCCCAGACCTAGTTTCGGTATTGAAGTCAAAGTTAACTTGCCTTGTGTTCGCTATACAACAGCGGGTGATGGTTACACAAGAAGACGACTCGGCAGATTTTAAGTGTTTCTTTTGGACAGTGACTTTTTGGTCTGCAGACAGGGTGACTATCCTCGATCAAGTTTCACTCAGGACTTTTGTAAAAGCCTAACTATGACCACACTCCAGATTTGGTCCTCTTAAAAGGCTGAATCTCCCAAGCACGGTCACTGCCTTCCGCCATTCCTTCTCGAATAGTAAACATTGCGTGCAGCGCGCGGCTGCGTCAGACTGGCCGACAGGATTTAAAGTGAGTTATTAATCGCGATTATCAAACACGGTTTTAATGATAATTACATTTTAAACGATAATACTAACCGTCAGTATATTTTATCGTGGTTTATCGCGAAACCGGTTATCGTCCCATCCCTACAGGTTGTGATTCATAGGAAGAAGCTGATCCATATACACTGGGTAAGTAAGTAACTGAGCCCTTCAGGAACAACCGCTTGCAAATCCACATTTGAATTAATTTATGTTTTTGAACTAACTAATGATGAGAACACAATCGGGCTATACTGTTGTGGTATCGTTGCAAATATGAACTCTAACCAGAGATTCTTCACATGCTCGTCCCTGGTAAATGAAAACAAAGTGGCTAAACTATCTTTGCATTGTAGAACACAGCGTCTTCTCAACATGATGCTATGATGAAGTATTTGAATGTGTAGACTTCAAGTTTACACTTCCGTCTGCGCACGCAGTAACTGGGCACGGCCAGTATGTATCTATGTCACTACGAACCAGCTAATGACTCGTTTCAAAAACAATTCATTTCATAGACTCAGAGTCGACTCTCACTTTTGAAAGACAATAACTTTATATACGGTGCACTTTCAGATATAAATCTTTGCAGGATGTTTTCATTCCCTTAGAGCTATATTCCACACCATATGAACAGTCATTTTCAAAAATCCATGATAGGGGCTCTTTAATTCATCCAGGCCAAGCTCAACTCACCAGTGGAAATCGAAAAATAAGAATTGTCTCCATGCATGTGGCAATGCAGACAGCTTTGTTTTTGTCTTTTGTAATGATAAAGAAGCCAATTGAATCCAAATGTCAGTATGGCTGCCGTGTTTTCTGCAATTGGGTCGAGAAAGGTTGGCCGCAACACTTGTAAATCACCAAACTTGCCTTGAACGCAAATTACATGTGCAACAATCACACATCTACACACCATTAAAAGACACACCATGGAAAATATTACCAGGACTTTTGGTTCAGGATAGTAGATGTTTTTAATTGTTTTGTATATGTATTGGTTTGATTAGCACGTGTTGAATGTGTTATACTAATGATACAAAAAAAACATATAGGTGAACAAATTAAATTTATTTTAGGGTTATGTCGTAAATTACACTCCCCATTGTATGGCTCTTGCATTTCTGTTACATTTGGTAACTAATAAAATGGACCAATGCACAGCGCCTGGAGCTTTGGATTTATCTTGGAAGTGAATAGCTAGAAATTGGTCTGCTGCTGTGTTATTGTCTTAATGATTTCTGAGCTCTGAGCTTCTATGCTTCTTTCTCAACTGCTGTTTTACTTTAAGAATATCAGATGGCACAGGGGAATGCAGGGCCCATCTCGCCAATGCGATTCTCGGCCAGGGTAAATGAGACTTTGGAGTCAAACATTTTCCAGTTTCTCATTTTTCATGTGGAAAATGACAAGAGAATGAAAAATTCTGCCCTTCAGTTGTAGGCTGAACCTGAATGGTAAAGAAATGCTGAAGAAATGCAATGCAGATTCAGTGTTTTTCTTCTGATAAGTGGTAATTACTGGCAAGCATCTCCATACGTAGGTCCTCAAATAACTTGTACTGCACTGTTTATGCTATATAGACATAAATAATCCCTTAAAGCATGCAGTTTATTGAGAAGAGGTGTGCTATTACGAGAAAATGAGCAAAACAATCCCATAGACTTACAAATTATCAGGGATTTGAGTCATATCTACAGAACAAAATATCATAGAGTCTTGAGTGTGGACACTTCTGACTTAAAACAGGGAGTCACCACCTAGCGATCACCCAAAACTGCCTAAAAACCACATAGTAACACCCTAGAAAACAAACAGGTCACTGTATCATCTTGGTGTTTAGTTCTGCATTAAGCACTGGAATATGCTCCAAATAAAAATCTATGTATTATGATATTTGTTTATTAAAAACAGCAAAAATTAAAAAACAATTGTGGAAACTACAATGACATTCATAAGTTTGGGGTTGGTAAAAAATGTTTTTAACGTTTTTGAAATAAATGTCTTATACTCACCAAGGCTGCATTTATTTGTAAAACAGTATATAAAAAATAGCTGTTTTCTATTTTTATCAAGTCTTCAGCGTCCCCTAAAGGAACATGGTTGTGGAAAAATATGGGTTGTTGGGAAAAAAAAAAAAAAAATTCAACTCCGCAAAGAACTCAAAAGTTTTCTGAGTGAGCGTAAAGTTTCTCTGGGGAAAGCAAATAATTTTGCGAGAAAATGCAAAAGCATTGACATATTTCTTCCTTCATTCTTTCATTTTATTTTTCCATCACATGTCCCTTTAGGAGCTTCTTATGATCTGTTAAGAAATCATTTTAATATGCTGATTCAGTGCATTTATTATTATCACTGTTCAAAGCAGTTGTGCTGCTTAATATTTTTGTGTATTTTTTTCAGAATTCTTTGATGAATTAAAAGTTTCTAAATAACATCATTTTGAAGAAAAAGAAAATTAGTAGCATTATAAATGTTTTTACTGAAGCTTTTGGTATTTTAATGCATCCTTGCTCAATAAAAGTATACCAATCATACTGACCCCAAACTTTTGAATGGTATTTTTTGTATTGGAATGGTATTAAGGCTGGTTTAGATTGGTTTATATGTTGAGCTGCCGTAAATTATCCACATGGTAAAATGAAACAGAATCACTGAAATCAACCCTAAGGGCACTTGCCAAGCTGCTTCTTGTCTTGTGTGTTATTCTTCAGTGAAGAGGCCTCTGGTAGTTGAAGACACGTACCTGCTCTGCCCAGCGCCTGTACTGAAGGAGGAGGGAACGTAAGTGTTGCTGGAAACTCTGTCTTCAGCTGAAGCAAATAAAGCTAGAATGGAAAGAGAAACACACAAGCCAAGAAACAAATTCAAACATAGGACAGAAAGACGCCCAGCTCTCTTAAAGGCATTGTTATTCCAGGCTTTTTAGCTTATGAAGCATTGTAAAACATCTTTATAATTTTATATGTAGCTTATTGTAGAGTATAAATCTATTAATTGAAATCCAATTTAAACAATACGTGTCACGTTATAATTTACAATGGAAACAGTAAAAGGAAGTCCCTGCATAACCCATCATACTTTATTCTATTGTATTACATTTTTTTTATATTTGTTATTTATTATATACATTACATAAACATTCATGACAGTTTCCACAGAAGATTAAGCAGCAAATCAACATATTTGAATGATTTCAGAAGGATCGGATGAAGGAAATTTTAATAATATTTCACAGAATTACGTTTTTTTTACTGTAAGTGTAATATCATACAAATGGAGCATTTTTAACTTTTCACCGATCCCAGGGATAATACTTTATAATACATTTAGTACCAAGTCAGTTTTAGTAAACATTAACAAGCACTTTTTCAAACTTCTAGATATTTGAATATCTAACTAATGATGATCCATTTGGCATTATATAATGTTTATTAATGATTTGTGAAGTTGTTATAAAGTTTTACCACCCCAGGAATAAAAGAGGTGTATATATATATATACCCACATTACCTTTTATTATTATTATTATTATTATTAAGCATGAAGTTATTTAATTTTAAGGCAATGGTTTCCTTTTTTTTTAAGTTAAGTCAACTGATCACTATTTACAATATTTAAATATGAAAGCCAAATATTTCATAAAAGAACTTTAAATAAAGAACAAAACAAGTCAGATATTTGTGTCTCTCTTTTGCCTTCATAGGTCTGCCTCCCTCCATGTCAGTATGAACAACGGCCTGAGTTTTATCTCCAGTTCTGTGACCATCACGACCGTCAGCTGTGTGAGTACAGTAACCCTGCAGTGCAGCAGTGTCAAGCCCACTACCACTGTTACAATGGGCAGAGCCACTCCCAGTACCACTACACTGGGCAGTTCCTCTAGCTCAGCTCCATCTTCAGTCTACCCTCTGAACACAGTCAGTATATTCTGTCCTTCTTGCCCTCTCTAAAAACCAACGCTCCTCTGGTGGGGTGCCTTTCCAACACTGGTGGACTGCAGCATATTTGCTGCGAGACAGAGGGCCATTGTTAAGGTGTTGAATGTGTGATCTCACGAAAACATTTCCATGTCACATTTCAACTAAAACCAGAAGATAAATAGATAAATAAATATGTATATATATTTTGCTTTGTAACATAGTTTTTTTTTTGTTTTTACTCTGAAAGGTGATACTCATAATCTTATTACTGTAATACAGTGATTTTTAAAAATCAGTTAATATACTTTACAAATTGAAGAATTGAATTATCTAATTGCATTAGTTAAAAATTATTACAATAATTAAGAAAATAATGTCAAAGTAAAAAAAAAAACGGTCAGGAAATAGGCTTCATTTTCATTTCCAAGCAAAATATAAGCTCTCATTTCTTTTCTTTGATTTTTCGGTGAAATGTGACTGAAATGTTTTTTAAAGGTTTCGTGAGATACTATATTTAACTTCAGACAGGGTTCCAGGTATAGCCACTCACACAGAGATCCAGATACTGTTTTAAAAAAGCTCCTTGCAAAAATTCCTATTAATATTCTCTCCCTAAACTCCATTACACCGCAAACTTTTAAGTGGAACCCCATCCAGAAGGGTTTGAGTGTGGCATGAGGAAGATTATTTAATGTTTATTTCCTTTGGACCATAAACCTCCCCTGGATCTGTGTCTCTGCTCTGTCCATCAGACCGACGGGACGTTCTTGGCCATAGCGCTGCTGATACTGCTGCTGATGATCGCTATGGCCACACTCTGGTGGTTTTGGCCCCTCTGTTGCACCGTGGTAAGTCTCACACTGAAGCCCCTCATCTCAGCTTTCTTTTTCAGAAGTTACACCAACCGGAGGCTAAAATCCAGTCATTACTGTGCTGAAAAGTGATTTTCAAGCAGTTTTTGAGCCCATAATCTCTCTTCTGAAGTGGAGATGAATGTGAAATTTTGAGCCATGGAAAAAGTATTGCTAAGAAGTGAGATGGGATAAAAAGAAATAAGTTTTTAAAAAATGACATTTTGCATTAAGATCTAATTTCCATTCCTTCAAAGAAGATTCCTGTGACATGTAAAAAACTGTTTCTTTTCATTTGCAACAGATCGTCCATGAGCCACCGCCACCACACGTGATGGACGACAGTTCGGTAAGAGGTGCTTTCTTTTGGTTTTGGTTTGTCTTCCATGTTTTTCAGAGTCCTGAACGATGTCAAGATCATATACTGCAGTCAGCAGTTGGGAGTCTAGTGTGAAAAATCTGATTTTAAGTCCATCTCTAGACCTTCACTTGGGTAATTTAGTTACTTAGAGGGATGGTTCATCCAAAAACTAAATAATGAGGGTGTCATTATTTATACATTATTTGAACCATGTACCTCTCTTGCTTCTGTGGAAATCAAAAAGGAAGTAATTTAGGAAAATATCCAGGCTGTTATTAACATGAAAAATGGATAGTAACTGGAGCTGCTAAAGTGATTGTTGACCCAAAAATGAAAATCCAGTCATCATTTACTCACCCTCAAGTTGTTCCAAACCTGTATGAGTTTCTTTCTTCTGCTGCTGCAATGTGATCTCATGAGAATACGTATGTATTTGTACGTAAAGTGTCGTTCTATCATACGTATATATAATTACGCTTTATATGCGCAGAAACGTATAATACTGACGTATTTACAGTACTAATACGTAAAATATTTACGTATTGACAGCACAAAAACGTATATTATTTACGTATGAACAAATCCACCGACGTACACATTTGTACGTATCACAATTTATGCATATTAATATCGTAGCATTATGTTTTGACTCTATTGCTTTCCACTGTCTTTCACAAGTTTTCAGTCGCATTTACTCATAAATATTAACATAAATCGTTTCGCCTGCATGGTGTTAAACAATAGTCAAGTCAAGTCACATTTATTTATATAGCGCTTTTCACAATACAGATTGTATCAAAGCAGCTTCACAGTGATAACATGAAAATAGTACAACACAGATCAATAATATTGCTAAACACTAAATAACCCCAATTGAGCAAGCCAAAAGCAAGGCGACAGTGGCAAGGAACCAAAACTCCATCAGATTGGATGGAGAAAAAAACCTTGGGAGAACCCAGGCTCAGTCTTGGGCCAGTTCTCCTCTGGCTTACATTTATATTGTTTATATATAAACAATAAATATAAATATTGTTTATGCATAAAACGGCGCCATAACATATCGCAGGCGTTGAGTCGTCTCCTCACAGGCGTTGGTCCTCTCATCGCAGGCGGTGGGGCATGCGAATCCCCGTGAGAGGATGGAGAATAAACTGGACCTGACGAACGCCATTTTTATCGGGACAAGTGTCCCGAGATAACAGCAGAAAGGCAGATGGGAAATAATTAGCATAGCTGATGTTCATAATGATTTCCATTATACGGGAGTCTGTGTTAGAAAACCACTATCTCACAAACTCTCCGTAACCTGAACTCTCCGCAACCCAACCATACGCGCCGACCCGTTTGACTAAGGCTGTCAAGCCCCACTGTCGCGGAAATGCGTTTCAGTGGCAAACGGTTCCGTATGGCATAACAGAGGACTAAAAAGTAAGCATTATGTGAATGCTTGACTAAAGAGATGCGTCTTTAATCTAGTTTTAAACTGTGTCAGCGAGTCAGAGCCTCGGACCGTATCGGGAAGGCTATTCCAGAGTTTTGGAGCTAAATGCGAGAACGCCCTCCCTCCTTTAGTGGACTTTGATATCCTAGGAATGGCCAGAAGCCTTGAATTTAGTGATTTTAAGGAACGCGCTGGATTGTAGGGCGAAAGAAGGTCCGTTAAGTACATAGGTGCTAAACCAGTTAGGGCTTTATAGGTTAGTAGCAGTATTTTGTAGTTGATACGGAACTTAATAGGTAACCAGTGTAGAGATGATAAAATCTGTGTTATATGATCATATTTTCTTGACCTAGTAAGAACTCTAGCAGCTCCATTTTGTACTAACTGTAGCTTGTTTATTGAGTATGCAGGACAACCGGCTAATAAAGCATTACAGTAATCTTGTCTCGAGGTCATGAATGCGTGAACTAATTTTTCTGCATCAGAGATAGATAGCATGTTACGTAGCTTAGCAATGTTTCTAAGGTGGCTGTTCTTGTAACATATGAAATATGATTTTCGAAAGACAAGTTGCGGTCTAGTATAACACCCAGGTCTTTTACTGTAGTGGATAAAGTAACAGGACATCCGTCTATATTAAAGTTGTATTGCGAGAGGTTTTGAGAGTAGTTTTTTGGACCAATAAGTAATACCTCCGTTTTATCTGAATTTAATAGCAGGAAATTACGCGTCATCCAGCATTTTATATCTTTGAGACACTCTGTCATTTTAGATGAGTTAGTGTTTTCATCTGGTCGTGATGAAATATATAATTGAGTGTCGTCCGCGTAACAGTGGAAATTAATTCCATGTTTTCTTATAATATTACCAAGTGGCAGCATATATATTGAGAATAGCAGAGGGCCTAAAACCGATCCTTGCGGTACTCCATAGTCTACTGACGTTATCTTTGATTTTTTCCCATTTAAACAGACAAAATGATAACGGTCCGATAAGTACGATCTAAACCAGCTTAATGCCTGTCCCTGAACACCAGTGTAGTTTTGTAGTCGATCCAAGAGTATTTTATGATCTATAGTGTCGAACGCAGCGCTAAGATCAAGTAGGACTAGTATTGAGATACGGCCTTGGTCAGAAGCTAAAAGTAGATCATTTGTAATTTTAACTAGCGCAGTTTCTGTACTATGATGCGGTCTGAATCCTGACTGGAATTTTTCATAGATATCATTTTCTTGCAAAAAAGAGCACAATTGAGCGGACACAACTTTTTCTAGTATTTTGGACATAAATACACTATAAAACCTTAAAAATACATTCTTTAACGTTACTTCGTTCAACCATTTTGTAATAGTTTATTTACCTTGAGACACATAAAGCGTTTTCTCCTATAAAACACAACAAAAATTCACAAAAGACTTTTTTATTTTTATTAGTTTGATGTAATCCAAATCTTTAGAATCCAGTTGTTTGCAAGAAACTAATTCAGCCTCTTATCCAGTCGTGATCTCTCCATTCTCAGCAGCGACCGTACATGTCATTCAAACCCCGCGCTGGTGATGAATTCAAATTTCAAAAATTGCGCCCTTGAGAAGCGATACGTCATGTTTTACGGCAGTGATATCAAACGTTCATTGGCTCTTTCCTGCTTCGTCACAGTTTGCGACATGAAGGACTGTGACGGTTGGTTAGTTTAGTTCATTTGAAATGGAGAAGCGCGAGCCGCGAACTGAAGCCGGATTAACATTTTCATTAGTAATTTAATTTCTGCTCTGTAATTTACTTCGTACAAAACTATTACAATACTGCCAGAGAGAAGACTGCGACTGCAACGCTTCATCATGTGAACGGCTTTTGGTATCGGTTTTGACATTTTCGCAATAAATAAATTATTGTGATTATACTTGTCTGTTAGTTATGTTTTTCTTCATAATTGTAGTTTGTTAGTTTTAAGGAATTGTTATGGGTAGGTTTAGGGGTAGGAGTAGGATTGGTGGCTCAAAATATATTTTAATGCTATATTGTTAATAAAACTGCCCTTTCCTAACACATCTGTCTGTTACGTGTTATCTTTTTTTATCCACAAGTTTCCGAGGGGCGCTCCTGTAAAAAATAAAGTGGGTGAAACTTCCGGTGACGCGGCGGAAGTAGCATTCCAATGGTATTTTGTGTGTTAGTTAGCGAAGAGGCTAGCTGTTTTTCGGAGAATTATTTTACTATTTAAAGACGCAAATCTTTATGAGAGATGTCGTTACGGAGCTCAGGGACAACATGTGCTGTTCGCGGTTGTATGTATAACCGGATTAAACTAGTTCAGTGGCTTAAACGTGATTGTTTTGAACATAAGCTGAAAACGAAATCACAGTGATCCTGCCAGAGCCCGTCTCTGATCCTGCCAACGACTGTAGTTTCCATCACCTCCCAAAAGACGACGAATCTTCCTGTGTACATTTGTTTAAATTCTTAATATTCTATAAACTCTCTCAGCATGTGTTTGGCTGTTCGCTACTGATATTACACCTAAACTCAGGATCAAAGCCTGTGTTGACAGAATACCAAATGTGCCAGTTAATGTATTCCAGTAGCACATTCATTTATAATTTTGAATAAACTCCAAAGCACAATGACTAAGTGTGTATTTTTTATTTTAATTGTTTGTCAGCTCACACAACTGTCTGTCACCATGCCTTGATGAGTATTGATTATTAATAATGTTATTATAATACACTGCGGAGGGTAAAGGTACTTTTATTTCACCCTTTTTAATTTCGTTGAGGTTGTGTTCCCACATCGTTAGCTAGTTTGGATCGCTATAACTTGAATGACTGTCAACTGTTGAATGAACGAGTATCAAGCATGTCAAGTCGCGCTTTGTTTACTTCCAACCGGAAGTCGCGCCCACTTTGACGCAAGGCCTCATGGGGCGTAGGAAACTTGTGGATATTAAGTATTGAGAGTGAGGAGTCACGTGCCGATTTGGGCGGGGTCTGAGCCGGTCGGCCATTTTGGGAGGATACACTATCGGTTGCCAGGGGCAACGCCTTCAGATCTACACAGAGGTGCAACTAAATATGCTAGAAATAGCGAGAGAGAGAGACAGCACAGCGCAGTATTTGTTTACATTTTAGCGATACACGGCAGTGTCTTTGGAAGATATGGAGAAGGAAGAGAAATGAAAGTGATTCGGTAACACTTTAAAATAATGGTCGGTAGTTAACAAGTAGCTATGCAGGAAGTAATAGGTAGTACTGCATTAACACCTAACTTAATACTATTAACTAATATGGAGTAAGTAATAGGTAATTTAGTACAAAGGTAGTTCCTCGGTAGGTATTTGATCGTTACTAAAGAAATATATCCTCATTGAGAACTACTTGTGAACTAAGAATTAATAACCAATTAATTACTAATCACAAAAGTAACATGTCTAAAAAGTGAACAATTGTGGGGGTTTTATACTCTTAACATGATCATAACATTTCAGAAGCATGTGCCTCAAATGGGTTCTTTGTGGAAACCAGTTTATTAAGTTTATATATCCCCCCAAATACATTAGCTAGGTTGAGATTGTGACCACTACTCTTGCCAGGATGGACGCATGTTCTCTGTTTATTTAAAACTTAATCCTAAAATAATACTAATAATGACAGTTTTTAAAAATAAACCTTAAATAATTAGGAAGTGATGCTGACACTCTCATGATTGGATTAGTTCACTATTATGAGCTCTATTGAATGTCAGTCACATATATCTCAGACTCCAAAGACCTATAACTTTATGTTACAGTAGCTGCCTTAGGAGGACTTCTCTTTAGGACATGAATATAAACATTGATGTTTACTTGTCAAAAACAATTAGCATATTTAATGAAGAAATTGGCTGCATTTATGTTACGATAAGCGCAAAACCACATCTTCCAGATTACAGTGTTTGTTAGAATATTAGTGCCTCACAGAACCTGTACAGTATGTGTCAAATATAAAATTAAATAACTTGTATCATTTGTGAAAAACATGTTAACGCCTCAATAACTACTTAAGCGTTACCTTGTCATCCCGCAGGAACTACTAGTGATGTGGCCCATTATTTTAAAGTGAAAAACATGTTAACTCTTAACTAACTACAAGCGTTACCTTGTAAACATGTTAACTCCTAACTAACTACAAGCGTTACCTTGAAAAACATGTTAACTCCTAACTAACTACAAGCGTTACCTTGAAAAACATCAATGTTTATATTCATGTCCTAAAGAGAAGTCCTCCTCAGGCAGCTACTGTAACATAAAGTTATAGGTCTTTGGAGTCTGAGATATATGTGACTGACATTCAATAGAGCTCATAATAGTGAACTAATCCAATCATGATAGTGTCAGCATCACTTCCTAATTATTTTATTTTTAAAAACTGTCTTTATTAGGATTATTTTATGTTTAAGTTTTAAATAAACAGAGAACATGCGTCCATCCTGGCAAGAGTAGTGGTCACAATCTCAACCTAGCTAATGTATTTGAGGGGATATATAAACTATAAACTGGTTTCCACAAAGAACCCATTTGAGGCACATGCTTCTGAAATGTTATGATCATGTTAAGAGTATAAAACCCCCACAATTGTTCACTTTTTAGACATGTTACTTTTGTGATTAGTAATTAATTGGTTATTAATTCTTAGTTCACAAGTAGTTCTCAATGAGGATATATTTCTTTAGTAACGATCAAATACCTACCGAGGAACTACCTTTGTACTAAATTACCTATTACTTACTGCTTAGTTAATATTGCTTCCATATTAGTTAATAGTATTAAGTTAGGTGTTAATGCAGTACTACCTATTACTTCCTGCATAGCTACTTGTTAACTACCGACCATTATTTTAAAGTGTTACCAGTGGTTCTATAACAATGCTAGCCAGCTTTATTTAGAGAAATTAAAGCACTGTTACCATAAACCAGGTGTCAGGGTGTGTGAAAGACGGTAGTGCTCCGGGTCTTTCGTCCATTCTGTAGCAGGTCGTACGGGTCCTAATGTATGTTGATGTCAAGTAGTTTCTCTAAATAACGCTGCTTAGTGTTGTTATGTAGTCTCTCCCGATAGAGACCCTCTCCTTTTGCTTCATTTATTCCCAAGAAAGTGTGCCTTATCACAAAAATGCAAATAAATATCAATCTGCACTCCTTCTCTGTCGCTATTTCTCTCAGTCTCACGGTCGAAGTAACCATGACAACGGATAGCGTGTCCTCCCAAAATGGCGGATCCCTCCCACAATGCACCGCAGAGTTATACGCGTGACGTCACCTCCTCATTCTCAATAAAATGGGTATGTTTAGGTTTGGGATTAGGGTTACGGGATCTTACCTTTATCTATAAAATGGTAAAAAGGGAAATTATACAGATATCTTTATGATATAGAATATACGGAAATAGTTTACGTTTTGTAGCTGTAAAAACGTAATAATGTTACGTTTAAATGTTGCAGATACGTCTATATTATACGTTTCAGCATCTATCCAAACGTACTAAAAAGTACGTTTTCTATCTATGCAAAAACGTAAAATACCTACGTATTAACAATGAGACCAGGCTGGCTGAACACAAAAGAAGATATTTTGAAGAATGTGAGTAACCAACAGTTTATGGGCCTATTTTTTTCAATACTATAGAATTAAATAGGGCTAGTCATCTGAAGCAGGTTTATTATACTTAAACGAAATCTAAAACCACAAGAATAATTTTTGTTGCTTGAATAAAATATACTTTAACTGAAATAACTCTGGTCTGAAGCCATGTGATAGCTTTGTGTAAAACAGACCTATTTCACATTTCGAACAGCTCGAATTAGATTTGGGAGCCAAAACAGAGGGATAGAATTCTAGCAAATACCGTAATCATTTATAGTGAATGTAGATTTTCAATGCCATGCCTTGCTGTTTTGGTAGGAGCCACAGTGTATTCTCATCATGAAAGCTTTTTCCTCCAACAAAATTTCTTCAGAGGGATTTGCTTATGACGCCAGCTGACATTTGTTCCAAAGATTTGCTCAGCAAAGTTTTCACAGATGTGGTCCCGGGTGCCAAACTTATAATGACAAAAGACAGAAAGTGTCAGAAATTCATGTGATTTAAGGTCTCGAATTTTCAAAGAAAATTCACCCTGTGATGTTGATGAATTTTAATGATTTCCCCCCTTTTGGACTAAGATAAATGTAAACATCTGGTGACGACATGACAAAGAGCAGTTCCACTGGAATTTTTGTTGCATACTACCTCTTCAAGTTTATGAATTTTTGAGAACAATTTAATCGTCCATAGCACATTTCAACCTGGACACGTTGTAAGTCTTCCTCTTTCCAAGTCTCAGATTTCTCCTTCAAAACAGGAAATTCCACAAGCTTAAAGCCGGTCTTGCAATGTCTGAGGTAACAGTCTGCAGTGGAAGTATAAACTGATCCCTTATTCCTGCTCTCAGGGTCATCACTGCGACCTCAGAAAGATCAACTGTGCTGTACTAGGGATGGGTCATGATGGTTGAAAACAATTCACACATATGTTCAAAAGTTTGAGGTTTATGGTCCAAAGATTAACTGAATGGTGTTTATACTTAGCAAGGACGCGTTGAATTGATGATAGATGGTGAGATTAAATACATTTACTGTACAATTTTATATTTCGATTTCTAAAAATTCTGTTCTTTTGAACTTTCTGTTCATTAAAAAAATCCTAAAAATAATTGGGTTTCCACAAAAAAATATTAACTGTTTTTAACATTGATAACAACCAAATCAGCATTTTCTAATGATTTCTGAAGGATCATGTGACATTGAAGACTGGAGTAATGATACTGAAAATTCAGCTTCAATCACAAGAACAAATCACACTTTAAAATATATTTAAAAAGAAGACTTTATTTATATATATATATATAAAAAAAAATCTTACTGACCCCAAACTTAACACATTTTCTATTTATTTAAAATGTAACAACAATTTTATGAATAGTTTTTTTAAAATCTTTTTTCCAAATGCTTTGATTCATCCATTAGTCAAGACAGTAAAATTAAAATGGAATTTAAAAAATGTTTATTTATTATTTAAAAATTTAAACCCAGAAGACAGTGTTTAAGATAAAGTTGTGGATCATTACCGGATTGCCAAAAGTTTCAGCAGAGGGTAATACTCAAAATAAAAAAATATGAAAACAGTTCTTCTAAGAGAGTTCGTCCTCCCAGGCTCATTAAACCAGTTGCAGTCAGACTGCAAGGAAACATATGGAAATTCAATTCTGTCTGATTTCTTATGAGCCAAGAAATTCAGATAGATGACAGGAAGGTATAGGCTGACATCATTTCCTGGGGTGCTTGGAAAGGATTATTTTAACATGGTCTTGAACTCAAAGTGCATTTCAGTTCATGAAAATAAATAGTTACTTTGTTCTTGTTGCGCGCTTAGCATAATCAAATCAAACAAAAGATGCATTCATTTGTAATTGGCGCGTCCAAACACTTCAAATGATCTCTTTAATGCCTAATAACTGGGTCAGTTTGGCTGGTTAGCGTAAGCCACTCAGCTCCTGCTGCTAGATGAAGTCCTACACCATATATGCAAAAATCATCTTTTTCTATTATCTTTCACTGAATTTTTTTAAGTAATGGAAAATATTTCACTATATTCTTGTAGATGTATTAAATTGACAATGACCATTTTTAAGTTAGCAGAAGTTAATATGGAATTAAAATCAACTATTTATTTACTATTTATTTTACACAGAGATGCATTTTCACAATCCAATCAATCAATCAAGTTCTGTTCAACATTTCTCAATGAATAATTCACGACAATTTTAATAAGAATGTTTTTCTCTAAAGGATGAAGAGGATGAAGGTTTCCCAAAGAAGAAGTGGCCAACAGTGGATGCTTCGTACTATGGTGGGAGAGGAGTTGGTGGCATCAAAAGAATGGAAGTAAGTCAAGGATGTTTGCAAAGAAAAGAACATCTTGTATTCGCTCTGGTGATACGAATGTGTGTGTGTGTGTGTCCGTCACATTTCCAGGTGCGCTGGGGAGATAAGGGATCCACTGATGAAGGAGCCAAACTGGAGAAGGCCAAGAATGCGCGGGTGAAAATGCCTGAGCAAGAGTTTGAGTTTCCCCCCACACGGACCCTAAACAACGGCATGCGAAAACCAATCTCCCCTCAGAAGTGGTACTCCCCTATCAAGGTAGATCTGTTTAAGTCAGAGGTTTTGTTTGTCACATTAAAAGTTGAAGCCACACCTCCTCCAAAACATATGAACACACACAGCTGAGTCTTCAACCTCCACGAGACGAGAGACAAAATAAACTCTCAAAGTAGAAAATCATAGGTTGCCATCTCATAAGCATAGTACAACATGGCGTGAACACATCATAAGCTTGTCATTTTGGTTCAGGAGGAATAGTAAAATGCGGCTGTTCTTTCAGTTGTGGCGCTCTTGTCTATCCATAGCATGTAACACGCTGATGGTGTGTGATGTCTGCACGAGCAGGTGCACGGAGGTATGGAGAATAAATACATATGTTGACAGGCAGGTACAACATCGCATCATTGCATTCAGACCGAATGTAATGATTGGACGAACATTTTTTTGGTCCTGAAACTTCCACAAAAAAAAACAGAAGATGTTTTAATATTTAGACCACTATTATTGACTGCTATCAGGATGTGAAGAGAGTTTCAACCAGTATGACAAAAAGTGTTTATAAAAAAAAATACCCTACCTTTAACTAAGCTATTACCTCAGTTAACTTAATGAGATAACCAATAAAACAGTCTGAAAGCAATGAAAAAAATCTTCTGGAAAAAAAAAGGTTAAATAATGAAATATTTGATGACAGTTTATTGACAAATCTTTTTACAACAGTCAAACAAGTCTACTAATATATGTTTTTGTAATAAATGTATTTGGATTTTTTAATCTATTTGTTAGTCATTTGATAGATCCATAAAAATGTATTGTGACACATTATGGTGTTCCCCACCAGACGTTTTTTACTTTTTATACCAACAGATGAATTCATTCACACAAAATGATATATTCCTATTTTGATTTATTTTTTATACCAAATTTTAATTCTTGATTCACCATGTTTTGCTGGTGAACAGGATTGCATTGTTGGCCAACTAGTGACCAGAACCAAAGCAGCTCTAACCAGCTTGGACCAGAATTAAAATTAAAATTTGGTCTAGGGATGGCATTATAAAAGGTAAAAGGGATGGCATTGTAAAAGGTACCTTTTACGAAGCCAAAATATTTTCAAATCCCAGTGTGTCCTCACAAAAACACATCACACAACAGCTATTGGATGACCCAGTACCGTGTCATGCTTACGCTATGCTCATCTGGTGGACAACAAATGAAGTGGCCAAGGTATGGAAGACTGGAAGAAGCACCAAAGAAGCGACGTGCTGTTGTGGTGGCCTCGGCCAGTCCGGGAAGTGGTTCATGCATGTCTCTGTCAGATGGAAGGGGAGGGTTGATATAAACCAGACGCTGAACCAAGCTGACCCAAGAGAGATGAGCTTTGCTTGCAGAGCTGGTCTGTTTCCCAACAAAACAAACTTCTTTTCTCTTTCTCTTCCACCTTCTTTCCTCAGGATTATGTTGGGTGACAGTTCACTCTGAGAGGCAGAGATTAAACACTCGTACAGGTTGAGAAAAATGAAGACAAACTTCAATGTGTGTGATTCTGCACGAAATTCACTCTCAGTTTAGTCTCCATTGAAGCCCACAGCTCTGTGAAATGTTATCCAGGGCAGCGTGAGGCAAATGTTACTAATAACTGTTTCTAAGAGAAAATTATGTACTGTACCTCAGTACAGTATTATTGGTGTCAATATTATTGGTGGTTTCAACAGCCAATCCTCTATTGAGATATATTAAAATATTTGGATGTTTTGTCATAATGGAGACATTTGTGTACTAATTCACAACTTAATGGAAACTTATAACTTATAAATGGAAATCCATCTCAGAAATCTCGATGGAATATATATATATACTATATAGGCTACATAAAAAATGAAGGAATCATTTATTCATTATTTCAGTTGCTTTTTTTAATCAATTTACATTATCCGCTTGTTAATCAAAATTGCAACTGGACTCTTCATATGTAGAAACGTCTCAGTTACGGATGTAACCCTCGTTCCCTGAGTAGGGAACGGAGACGTTATGTCAGGAGTGACGGAGAATGGGAGTTTCGCATAGAAAGCCAATCCTCTTCGAGTATTTAATAACGAGCCAATGGCATGAAAATGCCTTGGGGCTGCGGAATTTGCATAGTGTAACTCCGCCTCACCTCGTGGGTATAAAAGGAGGAAGTGAACGCAACCGCAGCATGTCTTCGCTGAGGAGCCGAGACTGAACTCAGGCGTCTACCCAGCGGTACAGCCGAAGTGGCAAGGAGACGTAACGTCTCCGTTCCCTACTCAGGGAACGAGGGTTACATCCGTAACCAAGATGTTCCCTTTCGTAGTCACTCCGAGTTACGTCAGGAGTGACGGAGAATGGGGGTCGGTGCCATCAGGCCATCTTCAAGCTGTCTTCCAGTGCCCTGCGAAAGTCTTGACTCCTGAACTTACCTTATAACCAGGAGTTCCTACTTTAACAGGAATACCAAGGTACACTGGGAAGCATATCCCGGGAGGGACATGCAACCAGATGCCTACCGTAGGGAGGACTTAAGAATACACATATGGCCGTGTTAGGGACTAAATATGGAGATCACTGGAGTACCAACCACGGGTGGCTAAAAACTTAGCTCCAGGTGTGGCAGATGGCTTGCCAAGGGAAGACACATGCTCAGAGAGGCTTACAGTGGATAATACACATGAGACAGTTACCATAGCAAAAGCAGTGGTGCCCGCATCGTAAGTGCTGGAGGACTCAAGGCTTCAACGGAAGACTACTGAGGAAATATCGCACTTATCCAGTCCGAGGAGTGGAATGGCGAGCAAGCGAAGACACCTAAGCGGGTCCAGTACTGGCGGAAGCGAGTACGCGAGAGGACGCCGGCTCTATTCGCAGATTGTAGAATCTTGCGAAGGTGTTTGGTGTCGCCCAGCCTGCAGCTCTGCAAATGTATGTCAGCAAGGCGCCATGCGCTAAAGCCCAAGAGGAAGCCACACTCCGAGTGGAGTGGGCCGTCACACCAAGGGGGAACGGTCGACCTCTCTGTTGGTAAGCCAAAGCAATGGTGTCCACTATCCAGTGAGACAGCCGTTGCTTTGAGAGAGCCCTTCCCTTCTGGCTCCCCACATAACAGACAAAGAGCTGGTCTGAGGTCCTGAAACACCGCGTTCTGACGACGTAGGCGCGGAGCACACGTACCGGACATAGCAGTGCCAAGGCTGGGTCTGCCTCCTCCAGGGGCAACGCTTGCAGGTTCACCACCTGGTCCTGGAAGGGAATGGTGGGAACCTTGGGCACGTATCCAGGCCGGGGTCTCAAGATCACGTGAGAGTAAGCTGGCCCGAACTCCAGGCATGCTTCGTCAATGGAGAATGCGTGCAGGTCCCCTACCCTCTTGATGGAGGCCAATGCAACCAGGAGTGCTGTCTTCATGGACAGAAACTTTAACTCTACCGATTGTAATGGCTCAAAGGGAGGCCTCTGCAGAGCACTTAGAACTACTGAGAGGTCCCAAGAGGGCACGAGGGGAGGACGAGGCGGATTTAGCCTCCTCGCTCCCCTCAGGAACCTGATGACCAGGTCATGCTTCCCGACGAACTTACCTTCTACTGCATCATGAGACGCGGTAATGGCCTACGCTCCAACCCTTCTTGCAGGAAGGAAAGCACGACACCGATCGAACATCTTCGGGGGTCTTCTCCGCGAGAAGAGCACCAGTTGACGAAGAGGTTCCACTTCAACGCGTAAAGGTGTCTCGTGGACGACGCTCTAGCGGAAGTGATGGTTGCCGCCACCGTGGGTGGCAGCGAACTCAAGCCTGCCTCGTCCCGTCCATCGGGACGAGGGTGTCACAGAGTGCCCCGTCTCTGAGTGAGTAGATCTTGTCTCAGAGGAATAGGCCAAGGAGGTGCTGTCGCGAGGAGCAAGAGTTCGGAGAACCACGTCTTGGTGGGCCAATAGGGGGCTACCAGCAAGACCTGCTCCTCGTCCTCCTTGATCTTGCTCAACACCCGTGCAAGAAGGCTCACTTGGGGAAATACTTGCGTGGGCCCCGCGGCCAGCTGTGCGCCAGTGCATCTGTGCCGAGCGTGCCCTCGGACAGGTAATAAAACTGGGCGCAGTGGGATTTATCTGTGCCTCCCCGAACTGGTCCCAAATCAGCTGGACTGTCTGGGGATGGAGTCGCCATTCGCCGGAGATAGGGCGGACCCGTGACAGCTCATCGGCTGCCAGGTTCCGGTCTCCTGGAATATACACTGCACGGAGAGACCTCAGGTGCTTCTGACTCCATAGCAGGAGGTGGCGGGCGAGCTGCGACAACCGACGTGAGCGTAGACCACCCTGGTGGTTGATGTACGCTACTGTAGCTGTATTGTCTGAACGGACAAGTACATGTTGACCCCTGAGCAGTGCTCGAAAGCGGTGCAGGGCCAGGCGTACTGCCAGCAGCTTGAGGCAATTGATGTGCATGAGGCGCTGGGGTCCTGTCCAGGACCTGCACATGGCACCCCAACCTGTGGTAGATGCATCCGTGGAGACAACGAGATGCCTGGAAACTCGCTGAAGAGGGACTCCGGCCCGTAAAAAGCTGAGGTTCGACCACGGGAAGAAGGTTTGGCGGCACGCTGGAGTCACTGGAACTCGGAGCGAGCCGCGATGCCATGCCCACCTCGGGACTCGATCGCGAAGCCACAGCTGAAGCAGTCTCATATGAAGCAATCCGAGCGGCGTTGCCGCGGCTGCGGATGCCATATGCCCCAGGAGCCTCTGAAAAAGTTTCAGTGGAACCGCACTCTTGCCCTCGAACTGTCGAAGACAAGTCAACAGTGAGTGCGCGCGCTCGTTCATGAGCTGCGCGGACATGGCGACCGAGTCTATCTCCATGCCGAGAAAAGAGATCCTCTGCATGGGGCAAAGTTTGCTCTTTTCCCAGTTGACCCGAAGGCCCAGACGGGCTAGGTGCCGGAGCACCAGGTCTCTGTGTTCGCAAACATGTTCTCGAGAGTGTGCCAGTATCAGCCAATCGTCGAGATAGTTCAGGATGCGAACCCCGTGTTCGCGAAGGGGAACAAGGGCTGCCTCGACGATCTTTGTGAAGACGCAAGGGGACAGAGCTAACCCAAATGGGAGAACCGTGTACTGATATGCCTGGCCTTCGAAAGCAAACCGAAGAAACGGTCTGTGTCGAGGCAAAATGGATTGCTGCAAACTAATCGTGAGGCCGGACGCATTCGAAAATGCGTTTGGCTGTGAGCATTTTGAATGGTAGTCGATGGAGAGTACGGTTCAAAACGCGCAGGTCCAGGATCGGTCGTAACCCACCGGTCTTCTTGGGGACAATGAAGTAGGGGCTGTAAAACCCGGACCTCACCTCGGCTAGAGGTGTCGGGGCATTGCCACCGACCATAGTGGAGCGAACTCCCCTGAAATGGGGAGGAGACAGTGCGAACTGAATCGCGTAGCCGAATCTGATAGTTCTGATGACCCAGCGGGACAGACCGGGGAGCTCTAGCCAAGCTGCCAGGAACTAAACCAGCGGGGTCATGCGAACCACAGACGTCCCCCCGGGGCACACAAGTGGCCATCACCTGACCAACGGAGCGATCGGCCACTTTTGTCGCCCGGAGAGCGAGGTCAGTGGCAGCTCGCAGCTCGTTAAAAGCCGTTTGGTCAGTCCCCCCCTCGTGCATATCTCTGAGCAGTTTGGCTTGGAAAACCTGCAAAGTGCTCATCGCATGCAGAGCGGAGGCTGCCTGTCCCGCCGCTCTATAGGAACGCGCCGCCATAGACGACGAGAACCTACAGGCTTTGGATGGGTGCTTAGGAGTCCTACGGGAGGACGCGTTCTGTGGACACAGTTGCATCGCAACAGAGCGCTCCACCCGGGGAATCCCAGCGTACCCACGGGCAGCCGCACCGTCGAGGGGAGGAAAGGTGGGGGAAGCTGGAGCGCGCTCTCGGGAGGTCAAAGGAGCCTTCCAAGTGCAGCTCGGGGATAAAAGGTATTGCAGCCCATAATCCACCGCACCCAGAAGAACACGGGCGAACCATCTTTAAAAACACGTGCCACGAGCAGCTCTTTCAGAAGAGAGGAAGAAATTCACTCTTTCAGCGCTGAGGCGACCAGGGAGAAGCGCAAAGTCTGGCAGACAACTGCTCAGATCGCAGGCAATGCAGAATCTCGCTGGGTACCGCCGTCACACTAACACTGAAGAGGACGCTCGTCTCGAAAAGTCTTGTCAGTGAGAAATGGCTTGAGGAGTGACGAAGTCTCTTGACTCCGAAGCGAAAACATACTGCGGTTGCGTTCACTTCCTCCTTTTATACCCACGAGGTGAGGCGGAGTTACGCTATGCAAATTCCGCAGCCCCAAGGCATTTTCATGCCATTGGCTCGTTATTAAATACTCGAAGAGGATTGGCTTTCTATGCAAAACCCCCATTCTCCGTCACTCCTGACGTAACTCGGAGTGACTACGAAAGGGAGCAAGACATGTTCCTTGGACACACACACTGGCCACCAACAAAGGCAAATGTTGTTGAAGATTTATTAGTTTAATTGTAAATTTATCAATTTGAAAAGTAATATTTTTTTTTATTATTAAAAACATTGATACTTGATATATTTTTATTTATCCAGCACTTCTAGTGAATATATGAGAAAAGTAACCGGTAAAATTCAGTCTGCTACATCCTAAGCAGTTTATTTTACTGCCAAATAATAAGAAACTTTACATGTTGAAAAGTGAAGAGTCAGTCAATCAGATGTTCCAATTATACACTCCAATTAGATGTTCCATTTTTGGGAACATAAATTTTTTTCTCATTGCTGTTCCACTTATACAGAGGCATATTTCTTTGATTCAGACAGGAAATTAGAAACTTGTCAATTAACACCCAATAACTTGTCTATAACATACTATAAAATAAATCTAAATGAAGTACCTTGGTCCTCTGTCTCTTAGCTTAGCTTTGGGTAGTCAGATTACCCTGACAATCACTTTTGCATTGTTGATGAATTGTGTTTTGCAGTTTGAATTTCCCAGCAGCACGCTCTGAAGTGTTGATCTCCTTGAATGGCTGTTGTGTTTGAATCTTTCAGGGGAAACTGGATGCCCTGTGGGTGTGGCTTAGGAGAGGATATGACCGTGTATCCGTAATGAGACCTCAACCTGGAGAGAAGGTGATAAATAGTGTCATGCATTACACAAATGTTCCATAAAATTGCAGACAGTTTGTGGCATACACATATACAGTATATACCTAAAGGATTATTAGGACCACCTGTTCAATTTCTCATTAATGCAATGCAATCTAAACAACCAATAACATGGCAGTTGCTTCAATGCATTTAAGGGTGTGGTCCTGGTCAAGGCAATCTCCTGAACTCCAAACTGAATGTCAGAATGGGAAAGAATGGTGATTTAAGCCATTTTGAACGTGGCATGGTTGTTGTGTCCAGACGAGTATTTCACAATCTGCTGTATCCAGTGTGCCGGAGACCACTCATCTCCACTACAAATAGGAAAAAGAGGCTACAATTTGAAAGAGATCACCAAAATTTGACAGTTGATAACTGAAAAAATGTTGCCTGGTCTGATGAGTCTCGATTTCTGTTGAGACATTCAGATGGCAGAATTTGGCGTAAACAGAATGAGAACATGGATCCATCATGCCTTGTTACCACTGTGGAGGCTGGTGGTGATGGTGTAAAGGTGTGGGGGATGTTTATGCCATATGGGCATCGTTTAAATGCCACAGCCTACCTGACCATTGTTTCTGACCATGTCCATCCCTTTATGGCCACCATGTACCCATCCTGTGATGGCTACTTCCAGCAGGATAATGCACCAGCAATGTCACAAAGCTTGAATCACTTCAAATTGGTTTCTTGAACATGACAATGAGTTCACTGTACTAAAATGGGCCCCAAAGTCACCAGATCTCAACCCAAAAGAGCATCTTTGGGATATGATGGAACAGGAGCTTCGTGCCCTGGATGTGCATCCCATAAATCTCCATCAACTGCAAGATGCTATCCTATCAATATGGGCCAACATTTCTAAAGAATGCTTTCAGCACCTTGTTGAATCAATGCCAAGTAGAATCAAAGCTGTTATAAAGGTGAAAGGGGGTCAAACACAGTATTAGTATGGTGTTCCTAATAATCCTTTAGGTGAGTTTATATTAAGGGTGTAACAATATATCTTTTGAGTATCAATACATTTGTATTCTGGTGTCACCATTGCCCTGTGCATTGGGTTACCAGCATCAAGTCCTAGCCTATTCATTTACACCCACAATGTAATATAAAATTTCATGAATCGTGACATGAGAGTATCCTTACACCCTACTCAGCTGTGATTATTGTTGATGTCTATGACAATTTTTTTTTAACGTTGTGTAGAAAAACACTACATTAAAGGGTTAGTTCACCCAAAAATGAAAATTAAGTCATTAATTACTCACCCCCATGCTGTACCAACCCCGTAAGACCTTCGTTCGTCTTCGGAACACAAATAAAGATATTTTTGATTAAATTTGAGAGCTGTATAACTACCACATTGGCTCCTAAGGGACTGCCTCTTGACGGCCCAGAAAGTCAATGAAGAAAATGTTTAAATATCCCAAGTGACTACCGTGGCTCAACTATATGTTTATCAAGCGACGCAAATCCTTTTTGTGCGAAAAAACAAACGACGCATGCGCGAGAATTGCGATCTGAAGTAGTGCAGAGCGGCTCTGAAGTAGTGTAAGCAGATCGCAATTCTCGCGCATGCGTCGTGGAAATCTAAGGAAGTCTCGTTTCTGGCCTACAAGGAAGAAAAGAAATAGTCGAATAAAGTCGTTATTTTTGTTTGTTTTTTCGCACAAAAAGGATTCGCGTCGCTTGATAAACATGTAGTTGAGCCACGGTAGTCACTTGGGATATTTAAACATTTTCTTCATTGACTTTCTGGGCCGTCAAGAGGCAGTCCCTTAGGAGCCAATGTGGTAGTTATACAGCTCTCAAATTTAATCAAAAATTTCTTTATTTGTGTTCCGAAGACGAACAAAGGTCTTACGGGGTTGGTACAGCATGGGGGTGAGTAATTAATGACTTAATTTTCATTTTTGGGTGAACTAACCCTTTAAAAGGCAGAATCTGTTTCTACATAAGAAGGTAATAGTAGTTAATGCCCAGAAAAGCAGACCTCTGGGTTTTTCCAGAATCTATTCTTGTTAAAAATGTTGCAGGCAGATTGTAAGGATCACGTGAAAAACAATGTGAGTTATATTGAGGATGAAAGGAGGCCAGCTGTTAGCAATAAGTGCAGTCAGAAACAGAGGCAGAGTGAAAGTACTCAGAACTCTGGCATTGGTTCAGACCAATAGGACCAGTCTGCTAATATTCCTCCTGCCTAAAGGAATGCACCATAGTCTGCTTAAAGCATCAACCACCCTCCCCTTTCCCTCAGAGGAATGCACAGTGGGGAGTTTTAGGGTGTCTGATCTGCTGTGGTAAATAGAACAAGAATGCTGGACAGAAATCAAATGGCCTTTAAAATGAAAGCAATTGGCCTAAATCTTCACAGGGAAAGAGCTTCTGTTGATATTTTAAAGCATTATTAAACTGCACTGAACCATATTACACAAAACTGGGCTAAATTCATCCCACGAATGCCATCTTTATTATTCAGAGCAACACTCTTTTCCTTAATCTTTTAAAATAAGAGTTTGATGTACTAAAAACGTGCTTTGGATAGTAATAGTGCAAAAACAGCTTATTCTGATGTTAGAAAACAGAAACTATTAATATATGCTACCGTTCAAAAGTTTGTGGTTGGTAATATTTTTTTTTTATGTTTTTGAAAAGGCTCTTCTGCTCACCAAGGCTGCATTTATTTGATGAAAATTATAAACATTATAAATGTTTCACTGTGAATTTTGCTCAATTTAATGTGTCCTTGGGGAATCAAAATATTAATTTCTTTTAAAAAACAACTACTGACTCTTTTTAGGTTTTCAGAAGCTTAGCACACCCACGTGTAAAAACATATAAAAGCTTTTATAAATTTATTTTTACATTTTTTTTTACTTTCTAGGGTCGCTGTATGAAATTCACCCGTATGAAATCCTGCCCACCTCCTCAATACCCGCTTTACAACAACCCCTCGAGCCACATCTACAGCCTCCCCCATAGCAGATGCCCTCCTGTCCCACAGGGCACCCTGCCACCCACCCCACGATGCTCCGCCCACTCTCCCACCTCCACCCTGCCCCCTTTGCCATCAACCCCACCCCCAACATTCATAACCCCTCCCCCTTACACACCACCTCCAACCAGAGCTCTTCCTTCTACCAGTCTGAGTATCAATGTGACTCTGCCTCCTCCTACCACACAACCCTCATCACCCAGCACCTTGACTCCGCCCCCTCAGGCAGCTCCGCCCGGGCGAGCCCTGCCCCCTTCTCCTCCTACCCCGCCCTCATCACCCAGCACATTGACTCCGCCCCCTCAAGCAGCTCCACCTGGGCGAGCCCCGCCCCCTTCTCGTCCACCTCCACGCCCAGACCCCGAGGACCCACAGTTCTACCAGGACTGAGTAGATCCAAGAGATTTGCACAAGAAAAACTGCTGGTTATGCTGGTGGCAAAAATTGAGACCAGGAATTTTCCAGGAAGAGAAAGGATGGAGCAGCACGATTATTCCAACTAGCATGGCAGTGACTGTATTGCACACTTTATTCTGATTGGTTAACAAACATCCAAGTTTGTCATAACAAACAAAGTTTGTTAACTTTCAGAATCACCTTGCCATGTTCGTTATTTTGTTTCAAATGAACAGAACACCAAAGAGAGTCATTGAGCAAATCGGACACAAATCATAAACATTTGAATAAAAATAAAAAAATCCATGGAATGCATAGTTATTTGAACAACTGAGAAATATATACACATCAGCATGTGTTATGGTGTTTTCAAACTGAATATTTGATGATAGACCATTAAATACTTGAAGACTATTCGGCAGTCTGTTGACAATTATTTGGTAAAAAAGTAGCCATATTCTACTGTCTTCATTATTAGTAAAAATGATCATGTTCATGTTTGATGTTCATTTTTGAGCTTTGATGCCTTTTGAATAGGTCATCTGCAGATAAAACCTACAAGTAACTGCAGCAATGGAAGGGAACACTGGAAATGTGTGGCTCAAACATGTTAATTTTCTTCTGGGTTCAGTTTTTGCCAATTTCCAATGTTTGAGGAACAAAGCTGGCCATTATTTTGTATATATATATGAATGGTTTCCAAACAGCTGTGCTAAGAATAGATTAATCTTCATGAGTAAAAATACATGAAAAAAGAAAAGAAAACAAATTCTTTAATTTAAATGTTGTCTTTTGTTCTGTTGTTTGCCAGTGATGCATTTAAAGGGATAGTTCATTGAAAAGTGAACATTTTGTCATTATTTACTCACCCTTAAGGATGAGTACTCACAAATGAAGGATGTCCAGGATACACTTTTCCGTGAATTTCTTATATTTCCCAGTATATTCTGCTAAAGGAAATGACACAAGTTAGAAACAGTGTGATAATGAATTAAACGATCACAATGTATAATTACTCTGCAAACTATTCATTCAAGCATATGGCAGAATTTTGCCGTTTGAACTATTCTTTTTTTTTTTTTTACTTAATGTTTTTTTTATTTCTCATGCTGGGTTGAAAGTTTGTGTTTGAGCTGTTGCAGATGTTCATTGTGTGTCAGGCAATTATTTGTAAACGAAGAGCATGTTTTTTACACGCTTCAATTAAATGTTGGAATTTGTATTTCAGCGTCTTACATTTGGGTCAGCATCATTTATAAGGGCTATCAAGAAATTCAGCAAAATAGTGTGTTTTGAATGGCTTTTGGGGAGTATAAAAATTACAACTTAGACCATACACACTGTTGATAAAGGGAACACTCAACTTGAGTCACATGTCTGCAAATCAAATTTCCAGAACTGGTACTGAATCAGCTTTATGAACCGCAGTCAGTTCATTCTTTGTAATGATTAGCAGAACACTTATGGATTATGGATTTATATTTGAATGCTACAGTACATTACAGTGTTCCTACAGGAAATGTATAATTCATGTGCCTCCTGTTGAGACAAGCAACTCCGATATAAAATATGAAGCATGGTTATTTGTAATTCATGAAACTCAAGGTCCCTTTGAAGGTTCTATAAATCCAGCATAAAGTCAACCTGAAATTAAATGGTAAAATTGTAAAAAAATGGTAAATGGACTGCATTTATGTAGCGCTTTCACAGACCCAATGGCAACCAAAATGCTTTATATTTTGCCTCACATTCACTCATTCATACACCGACGGCATCAGCCATGCAAGGTGTCATCCAGCTCGTCGGGAGCAGCTGGGGTTAGGTGTCTTGCTCATGGACACCTCGAACATTGGGATTGAACCACCAACCTTCCGGTTTGTAGAAAACCTGCATGAACTCACATTCACATCATTCGCTCCATTCTGGAATGTAACGGCTGCTTCTTTCCATTGAATATCCTGTTTCAATCAGAGATGACATAATACAGAAGTAAAAAGGGTTTGTGATTTTTTTTTATGTTGACTTTACTGGGTTCTCCTCCCAGTAAATATGTTTTAAAAATGTAAAATTGCATTGGCATCTGCAAGTGCACTACATTTACAAACCGTCTCGCTCAATTTACAGAAAAATACACTTGCGATCTCTTATTCGTCAGATTAATAGAGTTTGATGAAGCTTTTAAGCAACATGGCAGTGGTTTCTGACTCTGTTGTTAATGTTAAGTATGTTATACACTTTAAGTGAAGAATGACACAGACACGAGGTGACTTTCATCGTGGGGTCTCCATTATTTTACTTAACTGAACTCCTCACTGAACATGACGTCATCCCGGTACGGGTAGCCTAGCTGTACAAAATACATGACATCCCCCTTCTTAAGTTTTGAACCATTCAGGTTGTAACCATTATTACATATCTGAATTAAACAGTTATACACCCAACCCAAAATATAATTTCTTTGTTTATGAGCAATCTTATGAACATTTGAGCTCATTCTTTTAACTGCACAAATTATTCAAACAAAAACTAAACTCAGGTTACTGTAGCGTATTTGTATAGTACAAACCACTGTTCAGTCCTTGTACCTTGAGGGTATTTTCACTCGTCTACCTGACCTGGTAATGTATTCATGTGGCTGAAACTCAGGCAATTCTGTGTTTTGTGTGTCCTTGTCAATTGTAGATGACTGAGTGTCAGTGACCTGTGAGTCCATGTCACTATAAGTGTCATTGACTGTGTTGTCTGTTGCTGTTGTTATTAGACTTTTTTCTTCTGTCTTTAGAAGATGTTTTCTGTTTCTCCTGTATGTTTTCCCATCTGGAGTCTGTATGATGAAGGTTGGTTGCTCATGTCTTTTTATGATTACTGCAGGTTTCCAGACATCTCCTCGTTGCACTCTCACTCTTTCTCCTATGTGGACATCTGAAAGCAGTCTCGTTTGTCTGTCAAAATAGACTTTTTGCTTGTCTTGTCTTAGTTTCAGGTTGTCTTGGATCTGGATGTTGCTCTCGGGTGACAACAAGGTGACTGAGGTAGGTATTTTGGATTTCAACCGACATCCCATAAGTAACTGTACTGGTGAGTACCCAATACCATCCAATGGCGTGTTTCTGTATTCCAACAGAGCAATATAGGGGTCACTTTTGCCACTCTGAGCTTTCTTTAACAAGCTTTTTATGGTTTGAACTGCTCGTTCAGCTTGTCCATTCGACTGTGCGTGTCCTTGGCTGGAAGTCACATGTTCAAATTCCCACACTTTTTAAAAGTTACGGAACTCTGTGCTGGCATACTGTGGACCATTGTCCGAGACTACAGTATCTGGTATACCATGCCTTGCGAACATCGATTTCATGGCCACGATTACACTCTGAGCAGTTGTGTCAGACAGTTTGCTGATTTCTGGGAATTTAGAGTAGTAATCAACAGACAGTAAGTAATCTGAACCATTGTGATGGAATAGATCTGTGCCAATTTTTGACCAAGGTCTTCCTGGTATTGGATGCGATATCAATGGTTCTCTTGGATTACTGTTTTTGTGTGTGTTGCACACTGAACATTGGGAGACAAACTCTTCAATCTGCATTGACATGTTCGGCCAATACAGAACATCTCTGGCTCTTTCTTTGCATTTTACAACTCCAAGGTGTGATTCGTGAATTTTCCTCAGCATTTCTTGTCTCAGCTTGTTTGGAACTATGCATTTTGCAGATTTAAAAAGAAGTCCTGATGTAAAGCTTATTTCTTCTTTGAATGTCCAGTACTCTTGAATCAATTTCGGAACATCACTTCTTTCCTTGGGCCATCCATCCATGGTCATTTTGCGCAGTAATTGCATTTCCTGATCAGCAGCCGTTGTAGTGCGGAAACGCATAGCTTTTCTTCAGACACAGGCAGATATGTTGTTATCCAGCAAAGCTCTAGCTCTTGACCAAGCAAGTCTTCTGTGTGCTCATTCAGATATGCACGACTTAGTGCATCAGCAATGTGCATCTCTTTACCTGGTTTGTAGGATACCTTTAGGCTGTACCTCTGAAGTCTGAGAAGCATGCGCTGTAATCTGGGTGGAGCTTGGTGCAGTGATTTCTTGAAAATACTTTCCAGTGGTTTGTGATCACTTTCAACTTCCACTTCCTTGCCGTAGATATATTGATGAAACTTCTCACATCCATAAACTCTGGCAAGTAGCTCTTTTTCAATTTGTGCGTATCTTTTTTGAGCATCCGTGAGCGCACGTGATCCATAAGCCACTGGTTTTTTATCTTGCAGACTGACTGATCCGATGCCTTCTGAGCTGGCGTCAACTGAAAGTGTCACTGGTTTCTGTACATCAAAGAATTTCAGTGTTGGAGCATTTGTCAACAAGATCTTCATTTTTGTGAAGCTTTCTCTTTGCTCTTCCTCCCAGTGCCACTGAACGTCGTCTTCGAGCAGCTTTCGAAGCGGAGCACTGACATCAGATAGATTTGGAATGAATTTGGACAGGTATTGCACCATACCCATGAATCTCATGAGTGCTTGTTTGTTTTCAGGAGGTGGCATTTGCACGATGGCTCTCACCTTTTCATCATCTGGCTTAAGACCTTCTTCTGAGATGATGTGTCCAATATATTTTATTTTTGATGTTCTTATCTGGCACTTGCTTTTGTTTAGTTTTAGATTCCATTCTCTTGCTCTTTCCAGCAGCTTGAGGAGTCTTTGATCATGTTCTTGTGTTGTCTCTCGCCATACTAAGATGTCATCAATGACGTTGACCACCAGTGTTGTAGTACTCGAGACTCGGACTCGTCTCGGACTCGGTCTCGAGACCATATTTTAATGGTCTTGGTCTTGTCATGGACTCGTGTGCATTTGGACTCGGAATTGACTCGTACTCGAACATTTTTTTTTTTAGGACTCTGACTTATTCCCGAGTCCACTCGTGTTCAATTCAAAATATTTTTCATGATTATTAATGTATGTTAATAAAATATTTCTTTAAATTGATTGACACGCCCAGTGATTGGTGATTTTCTAGTGCGCAACTGCGCATGACAAATTGTAATAAAATTACTTTTAACACCACCTACTATGTGGCCTTTTTACCCTAAACTGATCATATTTTTTAAACTCTAAGTAAATTCAGTAAAAAAAAAAAAAAAAGGATTTCTCTAAGTAAATAAAAGTAAATTAGGTAATCAACCCTCACTGGTCTCGGACTCGACTCTCTATGGACTCGGTCTTGACTCGGACTCGACTCTCTCTGGTCTCGGTCTAGACTCGGACTCGAGTGAGGTGGTCTCGACCACAACACTGTTGACCACACCTTCTAGACCAGGGGTGCCCAATCCTGCTCCTGGCGATCGACTGTCCTGCACAGTTCATCTCCAACCCTAATCAAACACACCTGAATGTGATCCTAAAGACCTTAATTGGCTACTTCAGGTGTGTTTGATTAGGGTTTGAGATGAACTGTGCAGGAAAGTCGATCGGCAGGAGCAGGATTGGGCATCCCTGTTCTAGACCTTCCAACATCTGCGCGACCGCACGCTGGAAGACTTCACTGGCTGAAGACACACCAAATGGTAAGCGAAGAAATCTGTACCTCCCTATTGGCGTGTTGAACGTGCAGAGTTTCAAACTCTTATCATCCAGTTTTATTTGCCAGAAGCCTTGATTTGCGTCTAGGACTGAGAATATCTTTGCTTTGGGCATGCTGGATACCACTTCCTCCACTGTCAGTAAAAGGTAATGCTCACGTTTTATCGCTTTATTAAAGGAACACTCCGACTTTTTGGGACTTTAGCCTATTCACCTTACCCCCCAGAGTTAGATAAGTCCATACATTCCTTTTTCATCTCCGTGCGTGCTATAAGTCTGTTTGACGCACCCACCGCTAGCCTAGCTTAGCACAAAGACTGGATGTGAATGGTTGCAGCTTTCATACTAATCCAAATGAGTGACAAAATAACGCAAACGTTTTCCTATTTACATGTTGTGGTTTGTATAGTCACAGACTGTACAAATATCAAGGCCATATGAGACACAGACATCTTTTAACCGTATAAATACTATATTTTCTGAAGGCGAAGTACTGCTACTTGGGCAGAGTGAACCATCACCTGAGACGCACCGTGACGAGGAGCAGAGAGTTCGCTCAGTGTTGCAGTAAAGAGTCAGCAATTACTAACGTTAGATAGAAAAGCATAGTTTATCATGGGTGTTTGCTTTATTGTATGAGCTGTGACAATAAACAGGG